ACAGAGGCGTATGTACTGTCAGTCCTCAAACTGAGTATGTAAGATCTATTTATTTTATTAAATGTATACTATGCCTTAAAAACATTAACTGAAGAAAAAAAATGTTGACTCAAAATTATGAACCAAATCAAAGGATGATGGTTTTACATGATGACTCACATTCTGTGATTTGATTCTATCAATTTGTAAGAAGCATTAAGACTGTCTAGGCCTTCCCTCTGCCAATCTTGTGACTAACAAAAGTTGCTTCTAAAAAGAAACAGATGCTTCAGTTTTTCTCCAGAAGTCAAAATTGAGACAATCTCCCCCTTCCCAAAACAAGAACAAAAAAAAAACAAAAGTGAAGAAAGAGAAGGAGGGAGGGACAAAGAAATGGAAAGCAGTAGAGAAAAGGTAACTTAGGGAACCAATAAAAGTGGTAAAAAAATAAAATGATTAATAGAAGTTGCAGATATGAAAACAATGAAATCGGAAGGAACAAAATTATCAAAACAATAATACAAGAACATTTCCCAAAAGGGAAGTAAATGAGTTTTCCTATTAAAAAGGTCCTTTAAGTGTCCAGCAGCATGAATGCAGGAGCAGGAAAGGAGGGCGGGCTTATACCAAAGTTCATTATTGTGCAGAATACCAGGGCAAAAAACTGTAAATAGGTAAGCCACATCCAAAGGATAGGGAATCAGAATGGCACCAAACTTTTAAACACTGAAAACTGGAAGACAATGGAGCATGCCTTCAAAATGATATAAAAATTATTTTCAAATTATTCAGGAAATTCTATTCATGGCCCAACTGAGAGTAGAATAAAGAAATTTCAGACACATGTTTTTTTAAATAATGCTATCAGCCATGTACTCTTTTGCAGTAAACAGTGGAAGATATGCCAAAACAATCAAGAAAGACAATGGCATGGGCTCAAGAAACAGAATCTAAACCAAGAAAGAGGTAGGAAATTCACAGAGTAATAGACGAGGGAAGTCTCATGACGACAGCTATACTGCACACAGATACCTGTAAAGCCTCTGGTCCACTTTAAAGTAGGAAGAATGAGCTCCAGAAAGTGTTCCAGGAGAAAAAAAAAAAAGAAAACAGATTACCTTATAGTTTGACCATGTGGAAAATTATATACAGAGGCATTTTAAACACTTGCTGGAGGGTGTGGAAAGTTAAGTCACAGGTTGAAAAACAAAACCCAAAGCAAATGAAAAAAGTGCAGCAATTATTAACTCCAAGAAAAACAAAAGCTTGTACCATGTCCCCTTAGTACATAAAGAGATACAGCACTAAATAATTACAATTAATACAGTAACAATACTAAATATGGACTAAACCTTATGAATAACATACTAAGAGGGAAGCAAGGAGGAGAGTTTTGAAAGCTATTTAAGATTTTATTTAATTTACTTGACAGAGAGAGAGAGAGCACAAAGTGGGGGGAACAGCAGGCAGAGGGAGAGGGAGAACCAGGTTCCTTGCTGAGCAGGAAGCCCAGTGGAGGACTCAATCCCAGGACTCTGGGATCATGACCTGAGCTGAAGGCAGATGCTTAACTGAGTGACTCACCCAGGTGCCCCAAGAAAGCTAAAATTCTTAAGTACCATGACGGAATGTCAGTTATCAATGTCTAACACTGTAAATTCTATAAATAACAATAACAATAGCAGAAGACACAGCTCGTTTGAAATGTAGCACTACTTGACTTTTTCAGCCATGTATAATAATTTTTAAAAATATGATATAATGCATACTAAAAGGTTAGTACCATGTCTAGCATAATAAATGGTAGCCTGTTGTTTTAAAAAAGTGAAAGTTTTAAAAATCTGCGGTGGGGGGAGGGATGAGGGTAAAAAGGCTCTGAATGAGTTTAGTACAAAACTTGTGTGAAGTATTGACCCCAAATTTAGCTTTGCATTGAAAAAGAAAATAATACGAGGATTCACACAGCCCATATACAAAAACAAAACAACATCAACAAAATCAAACCAGTCGAACAGAAGCCCAATTAATTATTCCTGGTACTGAAGCCAAAGAGAAATTATCCTAAACAGGATTCTCATAGGTAGGATATTGGGTGATATAGCTATTTAAAACTCTCTAACACCATTACAGTAAAAATACCAATTTCTTTAGGCTTTTATTCTATTTCACATAATGTCTCTTAACACAACCAGACCAAAAAATATAGGCAACTCATATATAAAGCTCTTTGATAATATGAGTAAATTCAAGATAAAAATTCCATCATGGGCTTCAGATTATATGTCCAGGATTATATTATGGCCAGGACAAAAGTTTCTCTACAGAGAAAACAAAGTGGGAAGAAAAAACAGTAAAAGAGACTGAGTTCTGATACCTAAAAATTCACTATATACGGAATAAATAAACAAGAAAGCAACTCTTCACATGTCCTAAATGGGAGGGAGGGAGAAGTCTATACTTTATTCTTATAAGATCAAAAAAGTATCCTTCACAGCATGCTTATAAGACAAAAGATTAATTCTTCCACTTACATTTTTATAGAAGGAAGAAAGTATATGCTGTAGGTGAAAAACTGACAAGTTTTGGTTAAACAATATCTTTAAGTCATGTAAAAAGAGGGGCGCGTAGGTGGCTCAGTGGGTTGAGCCTCTGCTTTCGGCTCAGGTCACGATCTCAGGGTCCTGGGATTGAGCCCCATATCGGGCTCTCTGCTCAGCAGGGAGCTTGCTTCCCCATCTCTCTCTTTCTGTCTCTCTGCCTACTTGTGATCTCTCTCTGTCAAATAAATAAATAAAATCTTAAAAAAAAAAAAAAGACATCATTTAGAGAAAAAAAAGTCATGTGAAAAGAAAAAACAACAAATAGTATAAAATAACTTTTATTTACATAATTTATATCTATAGAACATAACTGCTTTCTTTAGAACAAGAAAATTTACAAATGACAGGTATTGCTTTTTTGTCAAAAACTCCTTCAAGCAAGAGAGTATATATGGTCACTTCTAATTTGAATAACATGGTGGTAAGCAGCAGATACTCGTATTTTTAACTGTGCCTCAATCATTTACCAACAGTTAAGCTTTTAAAATCATCATGTTGACCACTTGCTAAAATATAAGTATTCAGGAGGAAAAGTCAAGAAAACAAAGACCATTATTCATACCTCCTTTCAGATTTACAAAATAATTCTTCACAACATCATCTTTACAGGAATATAAACAAATGGTGTGACTAATTCTTTCCACCTTGTAAGGTAAATACAATGATTAAGTTTCTTATTTTCCCAGATTAGTTTGAAGGATATAATAGTAGGACAATTTATCTTGGCTGACTTGATTCTCTTACACAATGAATACCCAAAGATAAAATTATTTTTTTATATAGTAAGTTACACCTTCCATAAAATGAATTCATTATAGTTGAACAAGAGACAGATGTTAACAAAGTTAAAAAATAAATATTACACAAGGGATAAAATAATAGTTTAACTGTGGCAACCTAACATCCAAACTAAGATTAAATGAAAGAAACTGTTTCAAAATATAAGACTTTAAAAAATTTATAAAAACAGGGCATTAAAATAGCTATGTGATTGACAACCATGATTTTTGTGACGTATTAATCACATGAAATAAATTAATGCATATCTACTGAGAATTTCCACTCAAGATTTATAGATCTTCATTGATGACACAAAAGTTAAATTATAAATTTCACTATAAAGCAATGAATAAGAAATGCTCTAATAGCAATTTTAGGATTACTGTTACATTTACTGAACCACATCCTATTTTACTAATGAAGTTGAAAATTCGCCACTATTTTTTTCAATATACAAACACAATTATCTAGACATTAAAATATCTTCCCAGTTGAAATACTGATCATTTTGTAATGCAGTCATCACAGTTTTAATTGTGATGCACAACTAATACCTTCAATGACAGATATGTCAAAGATAAAATGTCAGCACCTTCAGGTAAGAAAATTACTATCTAATATAGGGGTCAAATGAAAAGCCCATTACAGCCATGTCAATCCCTTCAGTGTTGTCTGTGGGTGTTTTCACACTGAAACAGCAGAAATGTACAGCTGCCACAGAGGCCACCCAGCCTGCAAATTCAAGAATATTTTGCAGAAAATGTTTCCGACTCCTGCTCTGATGCTTTTCAAGTGAAAGAACAAATTTGTTTTTGAGAAGTTTGATTTGAACCACCGAAGATTTGCTTGGGTAGATAATGGAATTACATATATAAAAAGCAAAATTTCGAAATCAAAAACAACGCTTAAATTAATACTGATGATAATCACTGACTAAATAAAGTCTTATTATCTTATTTTCTGTTTTAATATCACAATTATGTTCTGTGCTTAAAGGCCTAAGAGCCCCTTAAGCAAATTTAATGGGGGAAAAAAAACTATCAAGAAATTAGTTTTTAAAAAAAGGAATGTATGTGAGTGTGTGTGTGTGTGTGTGTAAAAGGGACTGAATTTTGTATGCAAATCTCCCTCATAAATTAAGGGTTTTTTTCCCATACAAATCCTGAGATTATCCAAAAAAATAAGAAAAACAAAAACTTCACAGTACAAATTCAATATACTAAACTATGAGAAAAAAATGTATCCAAATACTTTTAGTGATATAACTATAAATATCTTTAAAAATTAAAGGGAAAAGGGACAAACACAAATTTGTCAATGTTGTCTTTACCCATAATCTGAGTGGTGAAAATAATTAAAACTGAATATTCTTTTAAATAAAAAATTTAAAAATAAATAAACTTTTTGATGTTTCATTTTTATAAATAAGTTTAAATACTACTTGTTCAATTAGGACTAATGTTACATCAACATGAATTAGAAAAATACATATTTTCCAGTCAAATAGCTGATAATAGAAAAGTTTTTAACATTTACCATACTAAAGTGGAGTCTCACAATATGCTTTCATATACTTAGAGGCAACTGTAAAGGCCTTCAGCAAAACAAACAAAACACAAAAACAAACAAAGAAACAAGAACAGAAAAAAAACTTTACAAAAGAAGTTCACTAAATGCTAAATACAATCCACCTCCAAGTAAGTCGGCACTGTGATTTATAGAGAGTTTACCCACAGCGCTCCAAAATGTCCACGTGTGTTCAGCACAGGAAGGGTCAAAATGTGAACAAGAGAAGCTATTTCTGTCTCAGAAGCAGTCTCAATTGCTTTGTATTTCCAAAATGCTGAATCAATCAGAATGAAAGGAACCTCAGCAATGTTTTCCACTGATTATAAAAGCTTCAAATCAAGCTCTTAAATATTCAAAATCAATCTAAAGAAAAATAGCCAGTGATGCTTTTTTCTAAATACTGCTTAGTTGATATTTGACTCTGGAAATCCTAGACTTAAAAAAAGTAAAAAAAAAAAGAGAGACTTTTATTCTGTTTCATCTACTTCGATAAAGATATCACCAAAGAAATATTCTGAGACTGTGGTTGGCTCCTCCTCAGGTACCCGGTTTTGGCTACTTTTACATTCTTCTTTTGGTAAGGGACGATCACAAGAAGCCTAAAAAGATAATAAAAATAAGTATGCAACATAACATTTATATATTGGTAGTGGTCATCTAAATTGCCATCTCTTTGAAAAGCAATATAGTAATAAATATTAAGAGCTTTAAATATGTTCATACTCTTTGACCCAATAATTTCATTTCTGAGCTGTTTTATTAGGGAAATAATACTAAACATAGTAAGAATTTTATGAGTAAGAGAACCTTTGAAGCATTAGTTAAAATAATAAAACTGGACTCAACAGGGGCACCTGGATGGCTCAGTGGGTTAAAGCCTCTGCCTTCGGTTCAGGTCATGATCCCGGGGTCCTGGGATCGAGCCCCGCATCGGGCTCTCTGCTCAGCGGGGAGCCTGCTTCCTCCTCTCTCTCTCTGCCTGCCTCTCTGCCTACTTGTGATCTCTGTCTGTCAAATAAATAAATAAATAAAATCTTTAAAAAAAAAAAAAAAAAAAAAAAAAAACTGGACTCAACAAACACAACAGTGGGCATGATTAGATTAATTACAGTGTACATATGATCCATTATTTTACCGTAATTTCCATGAAAAAAACTTTAATACAGAAAAGCATAACATCAAATCCATAATGAAACACTTTGATAACCTGCATAAGAATACAGACCCACAAACAGAACAGTACTCCAAGGCAACTACAAATTAAAGCAATCCTATCAAAACTTAGCATACTTAGGAACTTATAAAAAATTAAGACAACATGGTATTGTCATTGGAACAGACTTATATATCAACAAAAAAGACGACTAGAAATATCCCCAACACATATACTGCAAATTTAGTATGAGAAAAGTTGGATTATTTAATAAATAATGTTGGACAACTATATAACCATATTAGAACAAAAAGAAGTCAAACCAAAATAAATTCAAGATAAATCAAATGATTTAAATGTGAAAATATTTTTTTAAAAATCTATTCTAGGGACGCCTGGGTGGGTCAGTCTGTTAAGCATATGCCTTTAGCTCAGGCGATGATCTCAGGATCCTGAGACTGAGCCCCAGGTTAGGCCCCCTGCTGCGCAGCCTCCCCTCCCCACTCCCCCACTCCTGCCACCTCCTGCTCATGCTCCCTCAAATAAATAAATAAAATCTTAAAAAACAATCTACTCTAAAATATCATGGGAAAACACTTCAATAATCCTGGACTGGGGGAGAGGGAGTTTCTTTTTAAATGACTTGAAATGCAGAAGTCATAAAAGAAAAGATTGATAAATTCACCTATGTAGGGGCGCCTGAGTGGCTCAGTGGGTTAAAGCCTCTGCCTTCGGCTCAGGTCATGATCTCAGGGTCCTGGGATCGAGCCCCGCATCAGGTTCTCTGCTCAACAGGGAGCCTGCTTCCTCCTCTCTCTCTGCCTGCCTCTCTGGCTACTTGTGATCTCTCTCTGTGTGTTAAATAAATTAAAAAAAAAAAAAAAATTCACCTATGTAAAAACTTTTTAAATGTCCATATGGCAAAAACTACTGTACACAAAATCAAAAAACAAATGACACATAGGTTAAAAAAAATTAACAAATATATACATATAATCTTTATCACAAAGGGTTTTCGTTAATGGAAGAGCTTCTACAAATCAACATGAAAAATACTAATGATGCAATTTTTTAAAAAATCAAACATGGAGTGCCTGGATGGCTTAGTCGCTTAAGCGTCTGCCTTCGGCACATCATGATCCCAGGGTCCTGGGACTGAGTCCCTCATCAAGCTCCCTGCTCAGTGGGGAGCCTGCTTCTCCCTCTCCCTCTGCTGCTCCCCCTGCTTGTGCTCGCTCACTCTGTGTGTCAATAAATAAATAAAATCTTGGGGCGCCTGGGTGGCTCAGTGGGTTAAGCCGCTGCCTTCGGCTCAGGTCATGATCTCAGGTCCCTGGGATCAAGTCCCGCGTCGGGCTCTCTGCTCAGCAGGGAGCCTGCTTCCCCCCCCCTCTCTCTCTCTGCCTGCCTCTCCATCTACTTCTGATCTCTCTCTGTCAAATAAATAAATTTTAAAAATCTTAAATAAATAAATAAATAAATAAATAAAATATTTTTAAAAAATCAAACATATGACTAGATGGCTCACGAAGAAAGCATAAATGATTTAAATACATGAAGAAGTGCTCAACCTCACTCATATGCTCATTAAATCTACAAAGAATTCCAAAAGTGAAAAAAAATGATGACATGCTAGTGTGAGGAAAAAGAACCTAGTCTCCTACACTGCTGCTAAGACCAGAAACTAATACATTCCGTATGGAAGACACTCAAGCAATTTCTATCAAAAGAACAACCCCCTTTTGATCCAACAATTCTATTTCTAGGAATTCAACCTATAGATAAATGTGTAAAATCACTCATTTATAAGTTAGCTATTACCATATTATTTGAAGCAGCAAATCCATTAGGAATAACCTAAATGCCTACCAGTGTGAGACCACTATTACTCTATGGTACATCAAAACAGTGGGATATGATCTAGTCACTAAAAATAATGAGGGCATGGGGCGCCTGGGTGGTTCAGGGGGTTGAGGCCTCTGCCTTCGGCTCAGGTCATGATCCCAGGGTCCTGGGATCGAGCCCCACATCAGGCTCTCTGCTCACCGGGAGCCTGCTTCCTCCCCTCTCTGCCTGCTTCTCTGACTCTCGGCTCAGCAGGGAGCATGCCTCACTAATAACAAAAGAAATGCTAATTAAACAGATGAAATTACATTTCTACCCTCTACTGTCATATTAAATAAGAAAAAAATTTATTTTCAAGAGTTAATATCTAAAGCTGGCAAGACTATGACCTTAACTGGCACAGTTACACTGCTGATAATTTTAACAACTGTTCTCCACAGTCATTTGGCTACAATAAAGATTCATAACATACTGGTCCCAGAAAATAATTCTAGGAAATATGAAGTATTTTTTTTTTTTTTTAAAGATTTTATTTATTTATTTGACAGAGAGATCACAAGTAGATGGAGAGGCAGGCAGAGAGAGAGAGAGAGAGAGGGAAGCAGGCTCCCTGCTGAGCAGAGAGCCCGATGCGGGACTCGATCCCAGGACCCTGAGATCATGACCTGAGCCGAAGGCAGCGGCTTAACCCACTGAGCCACCCAGGCGCCCCAATATGAAGTATTTTTAAACATGTTAAAGACAGTCTTTGCAAAAGTACTCCTTTTGAGACTCATGCTATCTAATAGGTCACCAGCCTTTTCTGTGTTGAAATCCCAAGTAACCAATCCCAATACTCTTCCAAAGTTTCTGATGTAGGTTCATATATGTTTCCATCCCAGGACTTGCCATATGAACATCTGTAGCATGTAGAGAAATGAAACATGCAAATAAATTCTAATTTTACTATTCTTTGAATTCTTATGGATTTCAGGACATCTCCCCCAAAACAAATAAAACACCAGCACCATTCTGTTTTGCTTCCACAGATCAAAAAGTTCTCTGCGTTGAAGGAATGACAATTAAAGTGTCCATGTACGGCTGGCTTAAATGCCTCTGTACTAAAGGAGTTGTAACTTCCTGGTTCAATACCTTATCTTCCTTTCTTATAGTGAGGTATGATGGGGAGAAGACAGACAAGAGATGCTCTGAAACAATTTCTAATATCCATCCAAGTACTAACCAGGCCCGACCCTGCTTAGCTCTAATACCCAAATGAAAATAGCAATTGCCATGTTTTTCTTAGTTGAGTCTGATTTCTAACCCATTTTTTTTAAGATTTTATTTGTTTATTTGACAGACAGAGATCACAAATAAAGTGATTTGTTTATTTGACAGGCAGAGAGGCAGGCAGAGAGAGAGAGGAGGAAGCAGGCTCCCCGCTGAGCAGAGAGCCTGATGCGGGGCTCGATCCCAGGACCCTGGAATCATGACCCGAGCCGAAGGCAGAGGCTTTAACCCACTCAGCCACCCAGGCGCCCCCTAACCTATTCTATACAAACAATAAAATATAACAGTTATCACATACCTGAGTTGCTGAACTGCCAGTATTCTCAGATTGAGTATCAACAACACTTGGAGATGGAGGCTGATCAGAGGACTCTTGGATTTTTTTCTGGCTTTCACTGAGTGGATTTGATCTTTTCAAATTCTTTCTTGATACAGGTATAAGAGGTTTTAGACGTTTCTTATTATAAACCTGAGTAGGTTCATCAGACTCCAAACTATTCTTTGAACATATTAAAGACAAAAATCCCAGGGGTCTTCTGCCAGGTCTAGAAATGCAAATGTAAAGATATTCAAGAATATGCAAGAAGAGAGATTCCTAATACCAACTTCTTTCCATGAATGCTAAAATGGCACATGTGATACCACATTAGTGGTATCAGCATATCTACTAAATATCTGTATTATTTTGATCATTATATACCAGTAACTGGTATACCATCATACCAGCAGGTGCCAATGCAGATTTTCTACCTAAAAAGTTAGTTAGTTTCAGCATTTAAAGTTAAGCTCCTGTTATATGGAATGTAGTATTTATCTGAAGAGTCCTACAAAATGCTGACTACCGAATTTCCTTTGATAAAACTCCTTCCCTTTACATTACTGAGAGAGAGAGATGTTTATAAAACAACATCCTTAGTAGTGAACTTAGTCTTTACATATATATCATATCTGTTGCATACAGGTCACATTTACCCTTTGAGAAAGAGAAATGGAGAGAATCTCTGTTAAAGAGCATCTCATGGTACCTGGATAATGGGGTTTTTGAAGATGATGCAATGCTATTCATTTGTTCAGACTTCGAAGCAGCACAAGTTCCCTCCTCCTTAGCAGACACAATCCTCTCATCCTGAGGTAACTGAGATGTACTTTTTTCTATATGTGTATCTGTTATTTTATCAAGAGACCCAGATCCTATACTCTGAAAAGCTGGTTCAAGTTGCTCTTTCTGAGGTTCTGGAGTTATATGTGTGCTTCCTGAGGTAGGAAAGATACCTTGTTCCTTGTAAGACTCCCCTTCAAAAATGAAGACAAATGATAAACACAGAGAACACATATTGAAATCTGTATATACAACTGAAATGTAATATTTGAAGGAAACAAATCATGACATTCTATCATTAACTTACTCTAATAAGAATAAACTAAATTATAAATTAATACGTTAAGTCATCTGGACTATTAAGAACTTTGTAGCTGGTAAAAAAAAAAAAGTATGGTTAGAATTTTTTCATTCAGATACAAACATATTTTGACCTAGAAAATCTTTCTCCATAAATCTATCTTCAACTAACAAAATAAGAGTTATCACCTGCTAATCCCTGGGTAGTAAACCAAAGGAACTATAAAAACTCTTTTATGCTCAGCTTTCTAATATCTAAAATATAATTGTTCAGCTTTTACAGGACATCCTGTAGCCACATGGTTTTCTATTAATTACAGGATTAAAGTAGCTTTGTATGGCTATGAAAGTGCCAAATCCAAGATCTCAGCTGGGGAGAAAAACATAAGAATCAAAGCAAGATTCTTAGAGAAAGTGAGCAAGATCTCTTCTTCAATTCCAAATTTGAATAGATGCATCAAAAATAGCCAATTGTAATCACATTAAAATTTATTTCACTCACCTGTTTCCTCAGAAGCATTTATCATTTCCTTTGAACACACCTGTTTTAAGAAAATTAAGAAAAAAAAATTATCAAGTAAAACTTCGTTCTTTCTTTCTTTCTTTCTTTTTTTTTTTTTTAAATAAAGTAAGCATGTATCTCCCAGAAACCTCTGGGGTAAAAAGATGTCTTATGGAAATGCTACCAACATTTATGAAAAAGATATTGCTACTGTTACTAAATCTGTTCCAGAGCACAGTAAAAGAGAAGTTTTCCAATGCTTTTAGTAAACCAGTGTTAATATTAATTCAAATTCTGATTATAACCAGTACAAAAATATCAAATATAATAGTACAAGCATAATACAAGCAACATATCAAAAGATCATAATCAAGCAGAGTTTGTCTCAGGAATGCAAAGATGTTTCAGTATGTGAAATTTAGTATAAATCAACTGAACTGAGGAGAAAAATAATACCCCCATCTGTATGTTTATGGGGAAAGTATCCAATATTATTCATACTTTAAAAAAAGACATTTTCTTAACACCATAAACTATAATTACTGCAATTCAAAACCAGCTTCCCACTTCATAAACACTGGAAATATTCTCATTTAAATCAGGAATAAGAAAAATGTCTACTATCAGGACTGTTTTCTGATATTTTTTGAGTTTTATTAGCCTATATAGAAAAGAGAAAGAAATTAAGTGTATACAAAGTATATGAGAAGAATTAGAAAACCCAGCAGAATCAAGTGAAAAATTACTATAGGTGGTAAGGGGAATTCAGTAAGCTCTCTACTGTTTTGTTGTCAATGATAATGACAACAAAAAAGATAAAATTCTTAGGGGATGACCTAGTAAGAAACGGACCAAAATTTAAATGAAGAACTGAAAATACCACTGAGACATAAAAGAGTAATTAAACAAGTGGAAAGACATACTATGTTTTTGAATTAAAAAAAAAAAAAAATCCAAAGTAACAAAAATTCTAACACCAACTTTCCCTATGTTAACTGGTCAAGTTAACATGATCCTAATTTAAGTATCAATAGTTTCTTTTTTTTTTAAGCTCTAGACAAGTAAATTCTAAAATTAACATCAACTTTAGGACATATACCCAGCTAGGAAAAACTTGAAAAAAAAAAAAAATAATGTGCAGGGGAGAGAGAAACTTTCTATTTAAGATATCAAAGCATTTAAAAACTACAGTAATTTAAAACAGTGGGACACTGTTGCCCTAGAACAAACAGGTGAGTCTCAAAGTGGAAGAAAATTCAAGAGTACACTCAAATACATATGGGATTTCATATCCAATAAGTGGAATTTTAAATCAGTGGAGAAAAAATGAATTATTCAACAAATGGTGCTGGTACAACTAAGTAGGCACCTGGAAAACATGAAATTGGTTCCACTCTTCTAACACCAAAATAAATTCTAAACAAATCATTAATGTTAACTCTAAGAATTTATACTAAATCTCAAGGTAGACTTTCAATGTGTAACAGAATCCCCAGAAGCCATACATAAAAAGACTGATAAATGGATTACATAAAAAAATGTTTGCACGTCTCTGTGACTGCAGTATGTGTGCATTCTAGAATTTACAATTGTAACTTCAACATTTTATAAGCATTTTTTTAATTGTCAGAATGTTTTAAGTTTAAAAAATAAAAATCACAAATAAGATCAAAGAGGGGTCTGGGTGGCTCAGTCGCTAAGTATGTGCCTTTGGCTCAGGTCATGATCCCAGAGTCCTAGGATTGAGCCCCACACTGGGCTCCCTGCTCTGTGGGGAGCCTGTTTCTCGCTCTGCCTCACCTGCAACTCCCCCTGCTTGTGTGATGCTCTTCCTCTCTCTGTCAAATAAGTAAAATCTTACAATAAATAAATAAAAATTTCTTTAAAATCCACAATGTTTGAAAAGAATGCTGATAAACTGATGAAACTGGGTGACTGATACATTATACTTCCTTACGTTTTTAAATTCTTAAAAATTTTCGTATTAAAAAAATCCGGGGCACCTGGCTGGCTCAGTGTATAGAGCATGTGACTCCTTATCTTGGAGCTGTAAATTTAAGCCCCGCATTGGGCGTAGAGATTATTTAAAAATAAAATCTTACCCCATACCTAAAAAACCAACCAAAAAGAAGTCTGCAAAAAAAAAAAAAAAGAACACACACAAAAAGTAGAGTCAAAAGACAAAAAGTAGGAAAAAATATATGCAACTCCTTCAAAGACATACACAACACAGAGTTCCTCCAAATCTCTAGGAAAAAAGATCAACAACACAACCAGAAAAATGACTAAAGAATACAAAGTCATTTCACAGAGAAAGGAATACAAAAGGCTTCTAAGTATATGAAAGATACTCAACCTTACTTGTCATAAGAGAAATTAAAACCATTCAGGGTGGTTGGGTTATGGACATTGGGGAGGGTATGTGCTATGGAGAATGCTGTGAAATGTGTAAGCCTGATGGTTCATAGACCTGTACCCCTGGGCCAAATAATACATTATATGTTAATAAAAAAAAAAAATTCTGTGATACCATCTTCCACTCATCAGATATATAAGAATCCACTGCCAAAAAAAAAAAAAAAAAAAGGAAGAAGAAGAAGAAGAATCATCCACTGCCTCTGTTGTCTGCCCTCACCTAAAGACTACTGGTCTTCAACTATCCCTTTGAGAAAAGAGATTCTAAATCAACTTTCCCAAAAATAAATTAATTAATTAACTCTTCCACAGTGTAGCTGCACAGTGAGATAAATTATCATGGGTATTGGAAACATAAACAAGTGGGTGCCAAGAAACCTTTAACATAGTGGCTGGTGATCAAATCCACATAGTATCTTCAGGCTTCCCAAAGACAGTGATGACTAAGCTAAAGAAGTTTCTATGTTTGGCAAGAAAATGTTTCATAAAAAGGTAATAAAAGAAATGCCCTGGGACGTGAAGAAAGATGGTGCTTTCTAGAAACTGAAAGATGGCCAATATGGTTAGAGAGTGAGGCACACTGTGAGATCAGAGACAGAAATGAGCCAGACAAATAGAGGGCCTTTAAGGTTCTGGTTTTCTTCCTAAAAGCAATGGATAGCTTTATGCGTTATGGTAATACTGATGATGATACTACTATTACTATTTTACAGAACAGGAAACTCATTCACAGAAATAATAAATCCTAACTCAGGTCCCAAAACTGTTAAAGAGTACAGCTGGGATCCAGATCTGTAGGACAATTTTGGCTTTTTTTTTTTTAAGCCATTACCAAAGAACTATGAATGGGCTTCCTGACTAATGTCTATCAATTTTCATCTAGAACAGCTGAAAATGAGAATCCAAAACCAGTTTTAGCTGGATTATTAATGGTGAAAAGTATTAGAACTATCTTTATATAAAGAGTCTAAAGAAAGAAACAGAAATGGATCTGTTGTAATATGGCCATCTTATTTGCTTGATGATTCTATCTTACCTCCGAGGTATAATTTTGACAATCATCTCCTGAAGTGAGCAAACTTTTTTTGGGAGGAGGAACCTGGTCACTTTCTTCAAGCATACAGTGAAATCTCTTCCTAGATATAAGATCCAAATTAGCAGGAGGAGGCTCTTCAGAATCATCTTTTCCAGGATCAGATAAACACATGGTATTCTGACCAACTGAAGTTACTGGAAAACTCACACTGTATAGAAAGTGCATACATATGAAATTAGCAAATTAGAAGCTACTTAATGAGGTAAAAGGTTGAACTATTCCAGTGAAAACTGCCAAAAAACTTCCAAGTAACTAATATATATATATAGCCGTAGTCACAAAAATGTTAGTTTTGAGATCCATTCATACTCAAAAACTCACAACTTAAATTCCATAATACTAAATTAAATCCAAGGTATAAAAATAGTGTTTTCCTTATCTATAAAGTTAAAATTTTAATCTAAAATGCGCTTACTTATATAAAAGGCTAACATCTAATGCTACTTGACAGAGAACTAAGCATCTTAACCAGTGACTGTTAAAATACAACAATTCTCTAATAAGAATTTAAAAAGCAGTATTAAAATATATAGAAATGGGGCGCCTAGGTGGCTCAGTTGGTTAAGTGTCTGACTCTCGATCTCAGCTCAGGTCTTGATCTCAGGGTTGTGAGTTCCAACCCCACGTTGGGCTCCACGCTGGGCATGGAAGCCTACTTGAAAAAAAAATACACACACACACACACACACACACACACACAGAAACATCCTTCTTGCAATTTCTGTGAATGTGTATTTATTTCAGAATTTAAAATATATAAGCTTACAAAGTAACCACACACCTTTGATAGACAACATTTTACAATCCGAACAGCTAAATTTTTTTAGCTTTCAAAATGCTTAGGATACCAAATAAGTTTCACACAAAAGTATTATACATTTAAATGGCAGCTCTATCAGGTATAAAATCAACAATTTCTTCTCTAACTTATCACATAATTATTAAATAAGAGCTTTGAGATAATTATAAATAATGCTGGTGAACAGTTTACTCCGTTAATACTATTCAACTCATAAAGCACCTTTCCTCCTAGCAAAAAGAGTTCAGTTCCCAGGTGATGTATGGAAGTGTTGAATCACCATATTGTACACCAGAAACTAACACTGCACTGTATGATAACTAACTGGAATTTAAATAAAAAGTAAAAAATAAATAGTTTAGCTTATTCATTACCTCATGTCACTCCTTTCTTCTGTATTCACGGATCTGATCAATATGGGTGCTGGCAGTAAAGGGTTTGGCATTAACTGTGCACTGGTATCACTAAATTCTTCTACAGCATTGGTTGGGATTTCCACCAGAGTTAAAATGAATGCTTGTTCATCCTCACCATCTTGATGTACATTAGCAACTAGATTCACTATCAAAGTTTGAAAGTTAATCATGAAAAGCTGAACTATGAAAATCATTAATTTATTAATTTATTACATTTCTAAAAAGTCTCACTATAACTTATCCCATGAATAACAAGCAAATTATACCCACAAAAATAAAAAGTAATTTCATAAAGGATAAAAAGACAGTTCACTATAGAGAAGATTTTTAATTTGGAATAATAAAACTTATACACAAAATACTTCAAGTTTTTCGTTTGTTTTTAATTTAAGACTGTCATTTGTTTTTCCATAGTCAAATGGTGTAGGGGAATAAAAGCTGTACTATTAGGTTTGGTGATACTTTATCGAAGAAGATTATCATACCTGTTAAGTCTTGAGAACTGATTACATTCTCTTGTTGGACTTCTGGCATACTAGTTAGTGTATCCTAAAAAAATTTAAAAAGTTAAAATACAAGAATGAAGTTGACCAAATTTTTATTTATTTATTTATTTCTTAAGATTTTATTCATTTGACAGAGAGAGACAGACAGTGAGAAAGGGAACGAAAGCAGGGGTAGTGGGAGAGAGAAACAGGTTTCTCACTGAGCAGGAAGCCCAATGCAGGGCTTGTTCCCAAGACCCTGGGATCATGACCTAAGCCCAAGACAGACAACTGAGCCACCAAAGCATCCCTAATTCTAGTTTTAAAAAGTTTTCCAGACAATTGAATATAGGAAGAGTTACTGCTTCAAAACTCAACTTTTTAACCATATACAATTTTTCAAATGTTCTGAAACTTTGTTATACAAATAACTTTTGATTATTTAAATAAATATATATGTACAAAGGAATTCAGACTAAATTGTTAAATACATGAATTTTATAAAATTATTTTTAAAGTAACAGGAAAGGGAGATTCAAACCCCTCAACCTTTCCTCTATCCCCATTACAGCAGCTCTTGTCCTATCTGAATGGAAGCAAACTGCCTGTCTCCTCGCCACCAGCACAGCTCCTTCCAATCTGTTCTCCAGAAAACTGCCAACACTGTATTCTCTAAAATGCAATTCTTATTGTAATTCTTTACTGCTTAAAATTTTCAAACTCTCACTTTGTAACCAACAATGTCAGTAATCGATTCAGGCAAGCATCACCAATGGATACTAAAACTACTGGGGAGAAGGTGGCTGGGTCTGAAATTGCTAACACAATGTACAAAAGATGCTGTTTAATGTAGAAATCTAGCAGGCACCATGCTAGCCAAGTAATTAGTCCACATCACCAACAATGAAACAAGCTGACAGCACATGCCTGCTGAGGGGATACAAAAGGAAGAACACAATAACACCTAAGTAGTAATTGTGCCAAACACTGTTCAATCTGTATCTAAAATGAGGAACAAAGCACAAAAACCAGATTATGAATTAGCTTGCAATGTCAAGCTCACAAAAGAGGGAAGAGTGCAGGGGACCTACTCTAGATGAAAAGAGAGTAAAGAGAATGACAACTAAACGCAGTATGAGAGCCCTGGTTGAAACTATGTATTACATATAATTTTAAAATCAGTATTAGATAATATGGTAATACTGACTGTGACAACAGTATTATTTCTCTATTAAAAACATCCTTGTTGGTATCGAATATAAGCTGGAATATGTATGAATGAAGGCTCATGTCTGCTCTCAAATGGCTCAGTTTCTTGAAAGTATCTATCTACAGAGATGGAGAGCATGACAGAAAAAGCAAATAAGCAAAATGTTAATGATTAATTAATCTAAGTAAAAGTTATATGAGAATTCTATTTAAGATCTTTACAACTCTTCAATGAGTTTGAAATTATTTCAAAATAAAAAGTAAAACAAGTTGGAGGTTAGGGAAAGTCCCATACATTTGGATATACTCCAAATTCTTGCAAGTCATAAAAACCCCCCCTTTTATGATCCGCTCCCAGGTTGCCTACCTCACTCATCTTAAACTACTTCTTCATTTATATCCTACTCATAACTACTTATCCCTGAACATGAAATGCTGTTTCATACTTATTCTTAACACATGTTCTTCTCCCTTCAAACTGGCTAATTCATATCTGTTCTTCTAGATCAAGGGCTTTTTCAGTCCTGGCTACACATCAGAATAACCTGAGGAATTTTAACAACAGCAACAGAAAGCAAATGTCTAAACCCTATTTCCGGAGACTGATTTTACTGGACTGGGTTGAGGACCACCCCTTTAGTGTCTTGTGCAACTTGCTTTCACAGCACCTACAGAGTTTAACCATTCTTATCCTCAACGATTTCTCACAACTCTGTCCCTCCGGTACCTTACGCGGTACCAAACATGTAGTAATAACACCTCAGAAAAATACCTGCAATGTGAAAGTAGTTCTCAGATTCAGTGGCCCACAGCAAGAGGTAAATACTCTGTACAAAACCCTTTTTCAAAACTTTCACAGCAAAGCTACGTATTGGCTGTTTTATCTGTGCTCAAAAGACTAAAAACACACTCAATAAAAAATTCTATCATAATACATTCTTGCAAAGGAAAAACTGTAAGGAAAGAAAACAGATAAGGGATCACCAAGTAGCCACGGTGCTAAGGGGGGGTGGGTGTGTAAAAAAGGGCCCTGGGGAATCTGGGGGATGACGGAACTGCTCATGTGTTGTTTACATGACTATATATGTTTGTCACAACTTGTACAAGTACACACTTAAGAAGGTGAAGTTTATTGTATGTGAATTATACTTTTTTTTTTTTTAATGGGGAATAAACACCCAGCCACCCCATGTTATATTTTATCTTCTTTTACCTCTGACATATGAAGAGCAAGCACATTGTCTCCATTAGAGTCCTTTCCCTGGGGCTCTTCGACAGAACTCTCAGGGAGAACCACATCTGAACCAAGTATATGGGGCCTTGTCTCAAAGGAAACTGGAGCAACTGATGATATCTGAACCTTTTGAGATTCCTCTTCCTGATCATCATTTCTGAAAAAGAGATTAGTACATATTTGAACTTCAGAGTATGTATTAAAGTTCTGTACTGAAACCAAGTGGACAACTACAGAGTAACGTTTAGAGTTGTGAGTCAAAGATTTAATGGTGTTCAAGTTTCTAAAATATATTTAATGCAACAGAACCCTCCTTTTCCAATCAAACAGTTATAGCTACAGCTAATGACTATAGTTGAAACAGAATTTAAACCAAATACCAGAATTTCTCTTTTTACCTTTCAGTTAGATTTGCTTCTTGAGAAACAGCAGTCTCTCCAATACCATGTTCACAAGCCAATTTGCTCTGCTCCTTACTCTCTGCTGTTCTAAGTGATCCAAGGTTTTCATCTTGTAATTCCGTTGATTCAGAAATATTTTTCTCAGTTTCTTAAACAAAAAATACACTTAAGATATAGTCCAAAACAGCACAGCTAAAATCTCCATATTACTTAGAAATATGTTCTCTCTTTAAAGACTGATCACTATATAGTGGCTCTTCCAAATTTCTCTTAATCCAAAAATCAAACTTACACACAGCAGTAAGAGTGGTCCTGGCCGATGAGATTTTTGAGGGAGAAGATTAACAAATCCTACACTGTACATATTTCACTTGTGGCTGCCACAGCAATTTTATGTCCACTCCATGGTGACAGCAGTGTAATTACAAACCCACATATAAAAGAATTTTAGAAATTGGTACACATGAGGTCTGGCTAGTTCCACCTTGGGCAAAGTGTTAGGGAGGGAGCTATTCTAAAAACAATGTCACAAAGCAGAAGAAAATGACTTCTACATAAAAGAGTTACCTTCAAATCGCTATCAAAATACCAACAGCATTTATCACAAAACTACACCAAATAATACTAAAATTTGTATGGAACCACAAAAAAACTATGAAGAATATACAATGTGTAAAAGACGTGTCTCTTCAATAAATGGTGCTTAGAAAACTAGACAGCTACCAAAGACTGAAATTGGACCACTTTCTAACTCTATATACGAAATATAAACCCAAAATGGAGAGCTAAACATGAGACCAACCATAAAAATCGTAGAAAAAAACACAGGCAATAATTTCTCTGACATCAGCTGTAGCAACATTTTTCTAGATATGTCTCCAGAGGCAAGGGAAACAGAATCAAAAATAAACTATTGGGACTGACAGCGAAGGAAACCATCCACAAAATGAAAAGGCAACCTACCAATTCAGAGAAAATATTTGCAAATGATACTTCTGATAAGGGGTTTGTATCCAAAATATATAAAGAACTTATACAACTCAACACCAAAAAATAAAACAATCTAATTAAAAAATGGGCACAGATGGGGCTCCTGGGTGGCTCAGTTAGTTAAATGTCTGAATCCTGATCTCAGGTCTTGATTTCAGAGTCATGAGTTCAAGCCCTGTACTGGGCTCCATGCTGGACATGGAACCTATTTAAAAACAAACAAACAACAACAACAAAAACAAAAAAAAAGGGTCTTCCAAAGAAGATATACGGATGGATAATAGACATGAAAAGATGTTCAACATAACTAATCATCAGGGAAATGCAAATCAAAACTACAAGATATCACAACCAGAATGGCTAAATATAAAAACAAAAACAAAACCCAAGAAATAACAAGTGTTAATGAGGATACAGAGAAAAAGGAACACTTGTCCACTAATGGTGGGAATGTAAATTGATGTAGCCACTGTGGAAAATAGTAGGGATGTTTTTCCAAAAATCACAAATAAAAATACATATGATACAATAAATTCCAGTACTAAGTATTTACACAAAGAAAATGAAAAGACGGATTCCAAAGATATATGTACAGCCCAAAATTTACTGCAGCATTATTTACAAGAGCCAAGATATGGAAGAAACCTAAGTGTCCATCAGTACATGAATGGATAAGGAAAATGTGGTATATATACACAATGGGATATTACAAAGCCATTAAAAAAGTTGTAATTGGGCTGTTTGTGAACTGGATGGACTTAGAAGGTATTATGTTAAGTGAGGTAAGTCAAACTGAGAGAGACAAATACCATATGATTTCCCTCATATATGGAAACTTAAGAAAGCAAATGAATATACAAATGAAGAGAATAATCGACCTATAAATACAGAGAACAAACTGATGACTTCCATAGGGGAGGGAGTAGGAAGACAGACAAAATAGGAGGAGATTGGGAGATACAGGGTTCCAGTTATGGAATGAATAAATCACGGGAATAAAAAGCACAGCATAAGGAATAGTCAATGGTACTATAATAGCATCATATAGTGAAAAATGGTAGCTCTACTTGTGGTGAGCACAGCACAATGAACAAACTTGTTGAATCACTATGTTGTATACCTGAAACTAATATAATACTGTGTGTCAACCACACTCAAATCAAAACAAATTTTTAATAAAAATAAAAAAGGTAACTTCAGCCTACACACTGAAATAGCTTTTGGGTACTTCTGAACTCAGAGTAAGTAATGGAATTAACTAACTGAATCATTAAGCATTGCTGGTTGAAAGGAAATCCCAGAAATCAGGAACCCCAAAACAGGGCAAAGATGATGCTCACTATCCAGATCTTCTACCTATAGAGCTTAAGATAATCTAGAAAGCCTACTATATACACTGTTTTCCTGCTCTTACTAGCATGTGAAGCAGATGGGCCTTTGGCAGGGAGGAAAGGTGGAAAAGGAAGTAGAAGTAGGATTCAACATGTACACCACAATCTAGTGAGGCCATTAAAAAAAAAAAGAAGAGAACGCTAGGTAATCATACAGAAAGATTTTTTTCAATATACTAATCTTTAAAAACAGAGTGCTACTGGGGGACCTGGGTGGTTTAGTCCATTATGTGTCTGCCTTTGGCTTAAGTCATGACCTCAGAGTCCTGGGATCGAGCCCTGCATCAGGCTCCCTGATTGGAAGGGAGTCTGCTTCTCCCTCTGCCTCTGCTCCTTCCCCCTGTTCATTCTCTCTCTCAAATAAATAAATAAAATCTTTAAAAACTCGGGGCGCCTGGGTGGCTCGGTGTGGTTAAAGCCTATGCCTTTGGCTCAGGTCATGATCCCAGGATCCTGTACTCGAGCCCCGCATCAGGCACTCTGCTCAGCAGAGAGTCTGCTTTCCCCTCTCTCTCTGCCTGCCTCTCTGCCTACTTGTGATCTCTGTCAAATAAATAAATAAAATCTTCTAAAAAATAAAAATACATAAATAAAAACAGAGTGCTACAATATAAAGAACTCAGTAATAAAACAAGTTTCCCAATACAAAAATGAGCAGATTTAGAGCACCTGGGTGGCTCAGCTGGTTAAGCATCCAACTCTTGATCTCAGCTCACGTCTTGATCTCAGGGTCGTAAGCCCCGTGTTAAATTTAAAAAAAAAAAAAAAGGAGCACAGACGTGAACACATGTCTCTAAAGAAAATATAAAAATAAGCACATAGAAAGATACTCAGTATCAATGGTCATGAAAGAAATTCAAATCAAAACCAGGAGAGAACTTCAAACTGACTAGACGATCTAGTAACAAGTGTCTGAGAGGATAAAGAGAAAGCAAAACCCTCACAAAATGTTGATGAAAAGACACAATATTGGCCCACCCGGCTGGCTCATTCAGTAGAACATGTGACTCTTGATCTCAGGGTTATAAATTCAAGCCCCACACTGGGTACAGAGATTACTTAAAAATAGCCCCTCGTCCGGTCCGTCCCGTCACATCCTGTCTTGTCCCGTCCCCTCGGGTGCCAGTGCCGATGCACACTGGCGGCAGAGGGGCTTTTTTCTTACTCCTGGTCCCTTCCCCGGCTGCCCTTCCTGACCTGTCGCAGGGCCGGCTGCTTCTCTGGACCCAGGATGCAGAATGTGATTAACACGGTGAAGGGAAAAGCACTGGAAGTGGCTGAGTATCTGACTCCAGTCCTTAAGGAATCAAAGTTTAAGGAAACACGTGTTATTACCCCAGAAGAGTTTGTAGTTTGTAGCGGATGGCGATCACTTAGTCCACCACTGTCCAACATGGCAATGGGCTACAGGGAAAGAATTGAAAGTGAAGGCATACCTACCAACAGGCAAACAATTGTTGGTTACCAAAAATGTGCGATGCTACAAGTGGTGCAAACAGATGGAATATTCAGATAAACTGGAAGCTATCACTGAAGATGATGATGGTGATGGGGGATGGGTAGATACTTATCATAACACAGGTATTGCAGGAATAACTGAAGCATTTAAGGAGATTACATTGGAAAGCAAGGACAGTATAAAACTTCAAGACTGCTCAGCAATATGTGAGGAGGAGGAGGAAGATGATGAAGGAGAACCTGCAGATATGGAAGAATATGAAGAAAGTGGATTGTTGGAAACAGATGAGGCTACCCTAGACACAAGAGAAACAGGGGAAGCTTGTAAAACTAAAACTGATGCTGGAGGTGAAGATGCTATTTTGCAAACAAGAACTTATGACCTTTATATCACTTATGATAAATATTACAAGACACCACGATTATGGTTATTCAGCTATGATGAGCAAAGGCAGCCTTTAACAGTTGAACACATGTATGAAGACATCAGTCAAGATATGTGAAGAAAACAGTGACCACTGAAAATCACCCTCATCTCCCACCATGTGTTCAGTTCACCCATGCAGGCATGGTGAGGTGATGAAGAAAATCACTGAGACTGTTGCAGAAGGAGGGGGAGAACTTGGTGTTCATACGTATCTTCTAATTTTCTTGAAGTTTGTATAAGCTGTCATTCCAACAATAGAATATGACTACACAAGATACTTCAACGTATCTTCTAATTTTCTTGAAGTTTGTATAAGCTGTCATTCCAACAATAGAATATGACTACACAAGATACTTCACAATGTAACGAAGAGAGCATAGAATCTACCCTAATTATTGTTTCTGTTTAAACAATTAACCCCTAGATGTGACCACTGACCATATTCACCAATATGTATAATTTCTCTAATAAAAGGACTTATATGTTTATGCATTAAATAAAAAAAGTTCCACTACCAGACTTATTTGTTTAATAAAAATGAGTGTAAAGAAAAAAAATTTTCTTAAAAAAAAATAGAAAGGAAAAAAACAAAAGAAAATACAAAACGTTGCTACCACTTTTGAAACATTTTGGCAGTTTCTCAAAGGTTAAACATGGAATTACCATATGTTCCAGCAATGCCACTTGTAAGTGTAAATCCAAGACAAATGAAAACTTACGTCCACACAAAAACTTACACATGAATGTTCTTAGCAGCATTCCTTACAACAGCTAACAAACAGAAAACCACCTAAACGCCCTGAATGGATAAACAAAATGTAGTATGATGGAATATTTGGTAAGCAAAAGAAATATCTGATACATGCTACAACACAGATGAGCCTTGAAAACATGCTAAGTAAAAGAAACCAGACACAGAAGACCACATATTATATGATTCCTTCAATATGAAACATCCAAAATAGGCAAAGTTACAGAGACAAAGTAGATTAGTGGTTGCCTAGGGCTGGGAAGGGTTGAAGGATATGTGGAGTTGCTACTAATGAAGAAGATTACACAACTTGGGCAATATACTAAACGCCACTGCAGTAAACATTTCAAATGCGTTAACTGTATGATACAGAATTATCTCAGTGAAACTGTTATTTTCAAAAGTACTGAACAGGGGCGCCTGGGTGGCTCAGTCCTTAAGCGTCTGCCTTCAGCTCAGGTCATGAACCCAGGGTCATGCAGGAAGCTTGCTTCTCCCTCTCCCACTCCCCCTGCTTGTGTTCCCTCTCTCGCTATGTGTGTGTGTCTCCCTCTCTCTGTGTCAAATAAATAAATAAAATCTTAAAAAAAAAAAAAAAAAAAAAGTACTGAACAAAGGGTGCCCGCATAATGCAGTGGGTTAAGCATCCAACTCTTGGTTTCAGCTCAGGTCATGATCTCAGGGTCATGGAATAGATCCCTGAGTAGGGCTCCAGGCTCAGCCAGGGTCTGCTTGGGACTCTCCCTTCCTCTCCCTCTGCCTCTCCACCAGGCGCTCTCTCTCTCTCTCAAATAAATAATCTTAAAAAATAAGTAAATAAACAAATGTGCTAAACAGTATATACGATATAGTATGCTCATAATTTTGTTCTTTCTGAAAGGAATGACATATATTTAAATGTTATATTTAATATATGATATATTAAATAATATGTTAAATATATTGACAAATATATTAATATTTATTATATATTAATATTTAAATACATGTGTTTATGTATATACTGATGTATCTATGTACACACACAGTCCCACATTTAGATGCTTATGTCTATAAAATAATGGAAGTCCATGAAAAAAACTTAATGGCAATTTACCACTAGAGATGAGATTGGGGACTGGGAACCAAAGAAGTTTATTAAATTTTATAACTTGGGGACAATGTCTTATTTTTTGCCACATGCACGTATAGCTTTTTAAAAACTGTTTGCTTTAATATTCACATACACACACACACACACACACACACACACACAATATGACAAAAACGTTAAGTAAATATAATTAACTCTTGTACAACATGGGGGTTAAGGGCACAAAGCTCCCATGCGGTAGAAATTCTGCATATCTGAATCTCAAAAAACCTGACAACTAATAGTCTGCTGTTGACCAGATGCCTTATTGATGATTTAAGTCGATTAACATGTATTTTCTAACTTTTATGTATTAGATATTATATTCTTACAATAAAGTAAGCTCAAACAAATAAAATGTTATTAAGAAAATGCTAAGGAAGAGATGCCTGGGTGGCTCAGTTGGTTAATCATCTGCCTTTGGCTCAGGTTATGATCTCAGGGTCCTGGGATCAAGCCCCACACAGGGCTACCTGCTCGGCAGGGAGTCTGCTTCTCTCTCTCACTCTCCCTCTGTGCTCTCCTCTCTCTCAAATAAATAAATAAAATTTAATTTAAAAAAAGAAAATCATAAGAAAAAGAAAATACATTGATAGTACTGTACTGTCTTTATAAAAAAAAACTCCATGTATAATTAAGTGTAAGCTTACATACAAGAGGTATCTGGATGTTCTTTGTACTATTTCTTATTCTTGTAAGTTTTCTGTAAGTTTGAAATTATTTCCAAATAAAACATATGTTAAAGATTTTATTTATTTATTTGACAGAAAGAAATCACAAGTAGGCAGAGAGGCAGGCAGAGAGAGAGGGGGAAGCAGGCTCCCTGCCAAGCAGAGAGCCTGATGTGGGGCTCGATCCCAGGACCCTGAGATCATGACCTGAACCGAAGGCAGAGGCTTTAACCCGCTGAGCCACCCAGGTGCCCCAATAAAACATATTTTAAAAGTTTAAAAAAAAAATCCATGTATAGGGGCACCTGGGTGGCTCAAGCAGCTAAGCATCTAACTCTTGATTTCAGCTCAGGTCATGCTCTCGGGGTCAAGATCAAGCCCCGCCATCAGGCTCCATGCTCAGCACGGACTCTGCTTGGGATTCTCTCTCTCCTTCTTCCCTCTCCTGCTATATATAAATAAATAAAATCTTTTTTTTAAATCCATGTATTGTGGACCCATGGGGTTCAAACCCATGTTATTTTGGGTTTTGGGTCAACTAAACAGATAATTCAGTAATAATGACTGAAGCTATTTGATGGATTTATTGGTATTTCTTTTATAGCTCATTCTACTTTTTGAAACTTTTTAATACTAAATTAAAATAATTTTAAATGAATATTCCATTTGAAATGCTAATGCAATTTCTCTTGTAAATATAATTTTGTAGCTGTTTAAGGGAACAAAATTTACCTCTTTGACTTTCTACCATTTCTCCTTTGTTTATAAACAAATTGGGAACTTCCTGATGAACACCAAATCTACTGGTCCCTGAAGTCTTAAGATTTGGTTTAGGCTTGGCAAATCTACTTCTTATTCTCAAATTACTGGTCACTTCAGAAGCTGTATTCCTAGAAGAAAGATGGGAAGAGAGAAATCCATCAACCATGTAATAACTATCTCTCTCACCTTCATACATTCTGATACAGTTATGTGCTACCTTCTTAGGTGCCACAATATCTGTAAGTGTTCATTTTTTAATGCAGAAAATATACAGTGGCAATTTTACTGCAAGTCTGGAGAAGGGAAGAGAATCTGGACCATGTTTATAAAACAGAGACCATATTTACAGAAAACTATTTCATTAAAGCTTCAAAGATGCACATATTACATTTACTTTAATATGCAAACCATTAAGGGCGCTCAGCTGGCTCAGTGAGTAGAGCATGTAGCTCTTGATCTCCTGAGTTCAAGCCCCACGTGGGGTGTGGCGTCTACTTAAAAAAAATTTATTAGGGAAAAAAAAAAAATGCAAGCCACGGGTGCCTGGGTGTTTCATTCAGTTAAGTATCTGCCTTTGGCTCAGGTCATAATCCCAGGGTCCTAGGATGGAACCCTGTGTCAGGCTTCCTGCTCAGTGGGGAGTCTGCTTATAACTCTTCCTCTGCCTCTTCCCCCTGCTCATGCTCTCTCTCTCTCTCTCTCACAAATAAAATCTTAAGAAAAAAAAAAAAAGCAAACCATGAAACTAAAATCAAACCAGCCTATCCTCTCACTTTAAAGGCTGAGAAACTGGGGCACCTGGGTGGCTCAGTTGGTAAGTGTCTGCCCTATGCTGAGGTCACAATCCCGGAGTCCCAGAATCGATCCCCATATCAGGCTCCCTGCCCAGCGAGGAGTCTACTTTTCCCTCTCTCCTGCCCCTCCCCTTGCTCCTTCTGTCTCTCTCTTGCTCACACTCCCTCTCCCTCAAATAAATAAATAAAATACTTAAAAAAATAAAGGCTGAGAAATCAGCAATGCCTACTTTACACTTACACAAGTATTACTCAAAAGCTATTAACTAAAATGGTAGTTTAAATATATTTATTAATTGAATACTGTAAAACTCAAGAGTTTAATAAAGCAAAATAAACCTGGTTGATACAGCGTTTTCCTTTACTTTCTCCACTAAACCAATTTCTTCTTTAGTACTTTGCTCTTCCAATACAATCTTGTTTTCTTCTAATGAAGAAGGAGATGTACTATTGACAGGTGAAGAAAGCTCCTGACATTCACGAACAATTTTGTGATTTACATTATCTGGGCTAAAAGGAACACAGCTTTTATCCTTTGAATGAACATCAAGAAGTACACATACTCCTATTACAGAAAAGAACAGAAAATTAAAATTGACCCAATACAAGTAGACATCCAAAGAAAATAAATCCCCCAACATTAAGCAACTATAAAATTCTATATTACTTTTTAAAGTTTACTCTTTTTCGTTCTGAATTTAAATACATGATCAGGGCGCCTGGGTGGCCCAGTCAGTTAAAGGTCTGTCTTTGGCTCAGGTCATGATCTCAGGGTCCTGGGATCTTCTCCCTTTTCCCTTCTCCCCTGCTTCTCCCTCTGCCCTTCCCCCCTATACATATGTTCGCTCTCTCTCTCAAAAATAAATAAAATCTTAAAAAAATAATAAATATGATTATATATTTTATGCCAGAGATTTGACTTGTTCTAGGCCAAATCATTCTTACAGACTAGAATTCTTGTGCTATCAGAAGTAAAAATGAGGGACGCCTGGGTGGCTCAGTCAGTTGGGGGTCTGCCTTCAGCTCAGGTCATGATCCCAGAGTCCCAGCATTATGTCTCACTTCAGGCTCCTTGCTCAGCAGGGAGCCTGCTTCTACCTTTATCCGTGCTCCCCCTGCTGTGCTCTCTCTCTCTCTGACAAATAAATAAATAAAACCTTAAGGGGAAAAAAAGGAAGTAAAAATGAATCTGTTATCTTGACTAACTACACAGCCTCAAATGAGTTTCAAGATAGGATCACCTTCATTCACAAATTTTTAAAACCTGTTTTTATGTTTTAGGGATTTGTGACAGGTGCTGTCACAAAAGCAATACTCTGCCGTTGAGAAAGGAGCTGTATACGGGCACCTGCCTGGCTAAGTCAGTAGAATATGTGACTCTTGATCTTGGGGTCATGAGTTCAAGCCCCACAGTGGGTATACAGTTTACTCAAAAAAAAAAAAAAAAAAGAGAGAGAGAAAGAGAGAAATGAGACTGTGTAAGGAACACAGACCAGAAAATTTCCTGATAAATATATAGTTATGGGCTAGAAGTCTAACACCTAAAACAAATGGCAGGTCACTCATCTCCAGACAAAATAATTAACAGGACTATAGTTAACTACCCATTTGGTAGACTTGAAATAGAAGATACTCCATAAGCTCAGCCTAAAATACTGTGAAAATCTGAGTTGACATATCTTTTGGCTCAGTCCAAACTAACAGAATAGTTGCAATTAAATTATTTCAATGACTGCTACTGTTCCTTCATACTATATGTGATTATCAGTTAACTGTGAAGACAATCCAAAGCAGAAGTCCCTTTGCTAAGGAAATAAGTGTTAAATGATCAGTGATCAATGGGTTCAGCTAATCAACATTTATGATGAGAAAAGTAAAGGACTCACTAGATTGTTCCAGGAATAGAAAGTTTTCCTAATAAACCAAGTACACTGTTTTGAAATGGTGGCCACTACATCTAAAGGGACAAAGTTAGACGGATCAATGCACACAATATTACCTTTTTCTGGGGAAAAAAAATGAAGTTGGCAATGCCAACTTCAAATGTAAAAGGCAGGTACTGACTTATTACTCAGCTGTGGGTATAATTTCTTAAAAGCTGTACTTTAAAAGGCTTTTCTCGGTTAAGACTTAACTTTCACTCTTACCATCACTCTGTTCTGCCCCGATCTCTGACTGCAACACTAGATCTCCCATTGCAAGTAACGTTATAGCAGCTTCAGTGCTTCCATCACTGGTACCTTGTGAGGAGATACACCAACATTAAAACAGAAAAAGGAAGCTGAAAATTGAAGTTTGTTTACTTAGAAAACATTTTTAATTCAAGCATTTATTCTCTAGTAACAAGTTTCAATATCCTGCCTACCATTAATTCCTTACAGCAGTACTGGTTACCACAAAATAAGAAATCATTAATTGTTAGCTTTTACTCATTGAAAATTCCTCCCTCCTACTAAATAATTTAATACCTTCAAAGAAAATACATCTGGGCAGAACAGAGGAAGTAAGTAATATTTCTTTATTAAACATTTAACTCTTAACTCACTTCATAAAGTAATTATTCCAAGAATCCAAGTTTCTCCTAGGGGTAACATATACAACAGTTAAAACATTTTGTTCAACTCTCCAGTGAAATTACTCACTTGATAACTAACACCAATACTAAATCACTCTGTTAGTGTTAACCAAGTAGTTTTATCAGTTTCCTTATTAACAGTTACCTGTTTCACCTTGGGTATGTTCATCTGTGTTCATTTCCTAAAAGAGGAAAAGATAAGCAATGTCTTACATATTTTCCCAAATATATGTTCTGTGTCTCAAAATCCATGATGTTTTACAGTTCTTCAATGTTTCTGATTACAAAGGAGTGCAAACTGTTTTCTCCCTATACAATTATTTATTGTTTCATACAGAAGTAATTTAAAAGCCAAGTTATTTTGTCTCTTGCTCCTTATTTTACCTTTTCCTTGTATTACATGCAAATTTTTTTAAAGATTTTATTTATTTATTTGACAGAGAGATCACAAGTAGGCAGAGAGGCAGGCAGAGAAAGAGAGAGGGAAGCAGGCTCCCCATTGAGCAAAGAGCCCAATGCAGGACTCGATCCCAGGACCCTGAGATCATGACCTGAGCTGAAGGCAGAAGCTTAACCCACCGAGCGACCCAGGAGCCCCTACATGCAAATTTTTAACTCTAATCATATTGCATTTACCATGTGCACCTACCATTCTTAATTTACTCCTTCACTTTCATAATCCTTGAACTTCAGTCGTATCTGTCACTAGTTTTAAACCAGTGGAAACCAAAAACTAAAGAATACTGCCAATTTTTCACACTAGGTGAAAATGAATTTTAACATATTAAAAAGTTACATGATTTATGCCCAATATATCATAAGGAGCTCTGCTAACCCTCTCTCCAGTGAAACTGGTGAAATTTATTAAAAACAAACATTTAAAGCCTCTGGAAATGTTCCTAGGGCAAAAGACACATCTTTCTGCAAAAACTGATGAAAATACAGTAACAGAGTAGAGAGCCCATCGTTTTGAACTAAGACTGCTCTCTCCCCGTCCTTCTTCCCAGCTCAGTGAAGCAGAGACCCCACCTCAGAACCTGCAACCAAGAAAACAGGGTCTTTTCTCCTTGCAGGCCCCAGCTGGAAGGCTTTCTTTCTACAAAGAACAGGACTTCAGCTCCTGACACCACAAGAATCTGGTGTCAGATTTGTAATAGAAAACAGAATTATTTAGTATGAACTTGCACACACAAAAAATCAATAAAATACCAGCAAACCAAACACAGCAACATATAAAACTTGGATGCAATTTTTTTAAAGACTTAATTTATTTGACAGAGATCACAAGTAGGCAGTGTGGCAGACAGAGAGCGGGGGGAAGGAGGCTCCCCACTGAGCAGAGAGCCCAAGTGGGCCTCGATCCCAGGACCCTGAGATCATGACCTGAGCTGAAGGCAGAGGCTTAACCCACTGAGCCACCCAGGCGCCCCAAGAATTTTTTATTTAATATCAAAATTCAATGTAATACATGACATCAATACAATAAAAAGGTAAAAATCACACGATCATCTCAATAGATGTAGAAAAAGCACAGGACAACATCCAACACCCTTTCATGATAATACTGTTATGTAAACTAGGAAAAGACTAGAACATCTTCAGTTTGATAAAAAAATAAAACAGGAAAAGTCCACAGCTAACATCAAACTTAATGGTGAAAGGCTCAATACTTTCCTCTCGGACCAGTAATGAGACAAAAATGCTCACTCTCACCATTTTTGTTCACCACTATACTGGAGGTTCTAGCAAGGGCAATTAGGTAAGCAGAAATAAAAGACATGCTGGGGCGCCTGGGTGGCTCAGTAGGTTAAGCGGCTGCCTTTGGCTCAGGTCATGATTCCACGGTCCTGGGATCAAGTCCCTCATCAGGCTCCCTGCTCAGAAAGAGCCTTTTTCTCCCTCTCCCTCTGTCTGCCTCCTGCCTACTTATGTTCTCTCTGTCAAATAAATAAATAAAATCTTAAAAAAAAAAAAAAAGAAAGAAAGAAAGAAAAGAAAAGAAAAGAAAAGAAAAGAAAAGAAATAAAAGACATGCTGAGTGAAAAGCATTGTAAGATGGGGTATGTGGGTGGCTAAGGTGGTCAAGCATCTGCCTTCTGCTCAGATCATGATCCCAGAGTCCTGGGATCGAGCCCTGCATTGGGCTCCCTGCTCAGCGGGCACCCTACTTCTCCCTCTCCCTCTGCCCCTACTACTCCCTGCTTGTGCTCTCTCTCTGTCAGTAAATAAATAAAATCTTTAAAAAAGAGAAGAGAGAAAAAAAAAAAAAGTGTTATAAACTGAAATCTTTCACCCAGAAAGATATGTTGCAGTCCTAACCCCAGTAACATGAATGCTACCTTATTTGTAAATAAGACCTTTTTAGATGTAATAAAGTTAACAGGAGGTCATACTGGATTAGGGTTGGCCCTATCCAATATGAGAGGTGTCTTTAGAAGAAAAAAGTCATAGAGATGCACATACAGGGAGATTACCATGTGGCATTGGAGGCAGAAATTGGAAATGTGCTGCCACAAGCCAAGAAATGACAAGGTCTGGTGGCAACTGTTAGAAAGCAGGAGAAAGGCCAGAATGTTTTCCCTCAGAGCCTCCAGAAGGTGGCACCTCGATTTTTGGACCAGCCTCCAGAACGATAAAAAAATAACCTCCTATAATTTTGAGCTGCCTTGTTCATGGCATTTTGTTATAGCAGCACTGAGAAACCAATACAGAAAGGCAGAACTAAAAACCATCTCTAGTCACATGTCATGATCTCATATGTAGAAAATCCTACAGAATCCACTGGAAAAAAAAAAAAGGAAAGAAAAAACTATTAGAACTAAAGAGCTCACAATTCAGTTAGTTTGTACATTTTAGGAGGCTTTTCACACTATCTATCCATCTATATAATTTATAGTTTGACATGATATGTTTGTTTAAAAGAATTACATAGTATAAACTCATTAAGGTTACAGAGTATAAACTCACTAAGGATCTGGGGAAGAGAAAAAGCTTAATGTAGAACTAAGCTTTTAAAGTATGTTTATTTTTTAATTCTGGTCTTGGTGCAAATGTTAGTTATGCATTATTCATTTCACAATTAGATCACTATGCTGTGACATGGTTTATATTCATGCTGCCCTGAGTACTTTTATAATTATTTGTTGCAAACTTGTGACTGTCCCTATTAACTTTCTTTTATGTAAGTACTTTGTGAATATTTCTTAAACTTTTGCTTATTTAATTCTGAATAAGAGCTAAATTCATTAAAAAAGAAAAAACTAAAGAGTTCAGCAAAGTTGCAGTACGCAAGACCAATACACAAAAACCAATTGTATTTCTAGACACTTGCAATAAAGAACCTGAAAATGAAACTGAGAAAACAACTCTATTCACAACAGCATCAAAAATAATAACATACTTGATAATAAATTTAACAAAGGAAGTGCACTGCAAAGTATGAAACATTGCTGAAAAAAATCAAAGACAACCTACGTAAATGGGCAAATACCCATGTTCTTGGATTGGAAGACTCAGTATTAAGATGGGACTAGCTCCCCCAAAATGATCTACAGATTCAATGTAATCCCAATCAGAATCTTAGATAATGTCCAGAAACTGACAAATTTTTAAAATTCATATGGAATTGCAAGAGTCCCTCAAAAGCCAAAACAATTCTATACAAAGAATCAAGTAGGATGACTCACACTTTCCCAATTCCAAAACTTACACAAAGAAACTGCAATCAATGGAGCATCACTGGTATAAGGACAGACATATAAATCAAGGAATAGAGATAAGAATTCAGAAATAAATTCACACATGTACAGCTGATTTATTTTTGACAAAAATGCAAGGTAATTCAATGAGGGAAAAACAGTCTTTTCAAAGAAATACTGCAACAACTGTACAGTCACATGTAGAGAATGAAGAACTGTAACATCACACCACATACAAAAATCAATTCAAAGTTGATTAAAGACCTAAATGTACAACTCTTGTAAAATCTATAAAACTATTAGAAGTGGGATGCCTGGGGGGGGGGTGCATGGGGGGCTCAGTGGGTTAAGCCTCTGCCTTCGGCTCAGGTCATGATCTCAGGGTCCTGGGATGGAGTCCCGCATCAGGCTCTCTGCTCAGCATGGAGCCTGCTTCCCTCTCTCTCTCTCTCTGCCTGCCTCTGTCTACTTGTGATCTTTCTCTGTCAAATAAATAAATAAAATCTTTAAAAAAAAAAAAAAAAAGAAAAAAAAAAAAAGAAAAATGCCAGGCATAAAAGATCATATTGTAGGAGTCAATTTGTATGAAACATCCAGAATAGAAAATCTATAGAGACAAAAAGTAGATTACTAGTTACCTAAGCCTGGGGAGGGTTGAGAGGAAATGGGGAAAACTGCTTTGAGACCTAAGGTATCTTTCTGACATGATGAAATGCTCTAAAATTGACTATTACAATATTTATACCTATCTATAAATATACCAGAAACCAATGAATTACACTTCAGTGGGTGACTTATTTGGCGTGTGAGCTGTATCTTAATGAAGTTGTTAAAAAGGGTGCCGCGTCTGGGTGGCTCAGTCGGTTGAGCGTCTGCCTTTGGCTGAGGTCATAATCCCAGAGTCCTGGGATCAAGGCCTGCATTGGGCTCTCTGCTCAGGGGAAGTCTCCCTCTCCTTCTGTGCTTTCTCTACCTCCCTCTCTTTCTCAAATAAATAAATAAATAAAATCTATAAAAAAATAAAAAATTTTTAAAAATGAAGTTGTTAAAAAAGTAGAATTTGCTGTCTTCTTCTCCAAAAACAAGAGAAATACTAACCAAATAGGGAAGAGTACCAAACAAAATGCAACTAAATATATTTTAAGTAATTTATATTTAATATAGATTTTTTTAAGATTTTATTTATTTGACACATAGAGATCACACGTAGGCAGAGAGGCAGGTAGAGAGAGAGGGAGAAACAGACTCCCCAGCGAGCAGAGAACCCGACACGGGGCTTGATCCCAGGACTGAGACCATTACCTGAGCCGAAGGCAGAAGCCTAACCTTCTGAGCCACTCAGGTGCCCCCATTATATAGATTTTATGCAACAGAACTTTAACGTAAATTTATGAGGCTCTTAAGAGTTCTTCAGGCACATACACAAAAATCAATGCTTTCCAACTGAAACACAAAATTTATGGATTATTCACCAGTTTCTCCTATTCATACAGTTCCCTACATGATAGAAATTAGCAAGAATGGCTGGTAAACTTAAAGCTTTCAAAATAAACCTCCATTCTTTTGAAAGTAAACAAAAAATTAAAAACAAAACATAATAAAATGGGTGCTTACGACAGATAATGCCTTCAAATTTTCTTCTTGTCTCATCTCCTGAGTAGTCACATCTGTGTTTGACAGTGGATGTTCAACAACAGCTATGCCTATATCTGGTACATTCACAGTTATTTCAAGCTGTCAAAATGAGAAGTTTCATTATTTCATTTTGGGATACTAGTTGGTATAACAAAATGACTAAGTAAAATAAAGTGTTAAACTGAATGAACAACCCACATTCATACACAATTAAAAACTGAAATATAGTAACTCGACATCAACTTGGCAAAGTAAAACATTTAAGGTTTTGGAGGGGTCTGTGATCCTTACAAACAGTAAACAGAATTTCCAAGGTAATCTTCTTAGTACCTAGCGTTTCCCTGTCTACGATCCCCACTTTGTCTCTATGTTTCCATAATTTCTCTCACCAATCTGTGAACATTTATGCAGCGCTTCCTAAAAACTAGAAGGCTACAGTACAGATACAAGAGTATAAAGCTGAGTAACTCAAGTGTAGTCCCTACCTTCAAGGAATTCACAATCTGAGAAAAACAGACATGCAATTATCTAACTATACACCATCTTCAGTGCTGTAATAAAGATGAGTTGAAAGCACTTGGAAAAGATTTACCATGCATCCGCCTCTGCACCAAAGCAACTACACTCTCCCACAACCCCATGATAGCCATGGCCATGGACATGTGAGAAAATTAATTCATTCACATTTACTCACGTAATAGTATTTTTGGTCATAGATCCCTATAATCTGGGGACTAAAGGACTAAGATTTCTCTCCTAGACTGTACACAAGACAATCTGGCTTCTAGTCCCTTACTTATAGAAAGCTAAGTATAAAAAACTATGATTCAACAGAAAGTGAGTAAAGAGTCAAGTATGAAAATCTGCCTTCATGATATAATTACTATAGTAACACTTATGTGTTCTATAGCTGTTTTCTCAGAAGCAAATATTAGAGAAAAATCTTTGCTACTATCCAGGATGAATGAGAAAGTTAAAGTGACTTGAATAAACAAAATATTTTCTCAAGAGTTGGGAATGGATGACAAATGGAAATACTATAGATATCTGAAAGTTGGTTCTTTAAGGCACTGTCCAGTTTTAAAGCTTCATTTTTTTAAACAGCTTTACCGAGATACGATGTACATACCAAGAACTCACCCAGATAAAGTATATAATTTGATGTTTCTGTAATATGCAGTTATGAACAACCATCACCACAGTCACTTTTTTTTTTTTTTTAAGATTTTATTTATTTATTTGACAGATAGAGATCACAAGTAGGCAGAGAGGCAGGCAGAGAGAGAATGGGAAGCAGGCTCCCCACTGAGCAGAGAGCCCGATGTGGGGCTCGATCCCAGGACCCTGGGATCACGACCGGAGCCGAAGGCAGAGGCTTTAACCCACTGAGCCACCCAGGCGCCCCACCACAGTTACTTTTAGAACATTTTTATCACTTCAAAAAAGAATCCAATATCCATTAGTTATCACTCTTTTAACCCCTCATCTCCAAATCCCTAAGGCAAACCACTAATCTATATTCTGTCTCTACAGATTTTTCTATTTGAGACATTTCATATGAATAGATAATTATGTGATTATATGATTCTTCTGCAACTGACGTCTTTCACTTAACAATGTGCCTTTCAGAGGCACCTGGGTGGCATCTGCTGTCGGCTCATGTTGTGATCCCAGGGCGCTGGGATCAGGACCCCCCCCCATCGGGCTCCCTGCTCAGTGGGAAGTCTGCTTCTCCCTCTCCCTCTCTAGCTGTCTCACTCTCACCAAATAAATAAATAAATAAATAAATACATCTTTGAAACAAAAAACAAAAAAACAATGTGCCTTTCAACCAATGAAAATAGTAAAATACAAAACATAAAACTAAATGAATTCCCATGCTGTGTTAACCAGATGTCCTTGCAAAAAATTAACTTTTCTTTTGCATTTTCTTGGTTTCAAATAAAACGTAAATTCATTATCTTCATCTTAGAACTTTCAGTTATAAGAAATTTCATTTTGCATCATTTTTATTTAGTTTCAACCATTCTAATTCATGAACTTTATAATATCTAGTATGTGATTATTAACAGTGAATAAATAAAGGTGGTTGTGGACTTCCATTCATCATAAATGTGAAGCTACAGATTCAATAATCCATTAATTCTGGATTTAACATTACTTGAATTGGTTTGAGTTTCCTACTTCTTTTGTTATCATCACCACTACTACCTCAGTTAATTCCTAAATTCTGTTGCAAATGACTGAAAAACAATCACAAATGCTTAATACAAAAGAGATGTGGTTGTGCTGCTCTTTAAGCCAAGTAAATTACTAAAAATTGAGGGAAAAACAAAGATGGAATACTAGACCAAGAGGCAAAACAGGAGCGCTTATAACAAAGTAAGTTGAAATATTATGTTCCTCGATCATCTAATCATTAGGATGGCTATTCTGAAAAATTGCCATAATATAAATATAGCCATAAATAAATAAAAGGGCTGGTGAGAATATGGAGAAATCAGAAGCCTTGTATACTACCGACAGGAAGGAGAAATGATACAACTGCTATGCTATGTATGAAAGTTTTTCAAAATAGTAAAAACTGGTGTACAATTTACCATACAATTAGTGACTCCGCTTCTAGGTATATCCCCAAAAGAATTGAGAACAGGGTTTAGAAGAGATATTTGTATACCCATGTTCATAGCAGCACTCTCTGCAGTAACAGCCAAAAGGTGGAGGCAACCAACCATCCACTGACAGATAAAAAGATAAACAAAATGTGGTACAGATACATGATGAAGTACTATTCAACCTTAAAAAAAGAACACTCTAATTCAAGATGGATGAACACAAAAGAACACATGCTTCAATATGGATGAACCCTAAAAACTTTATACTCAATGAAATAAGCCAGTCACAATGAGGACACACTGTATGATTTCAGTTACCTGAAGTACCTAGAGTAATGTCATAAAGATGAAAGCAGAATGGTGTTTGCCACAAGCAAGAGGGGAGGAGGTAATGGGAAATTATCGTTTAATGGGTATAGTTTCAGTTCTGCAAGACGAAAAAGTTCTGTGGATGGATAGTGGTGATGGTGTAGCACAACAATATGAATGCACTTAATGCCACTGAACTACACACTTAAAATGGCTAAGATGATACATTTTATGTATATTTTGCCAAAATTTTTAACAAGAAAAGAAAAAAAATAAAAAGAAGTACATCCCTTCTACACTCTCTACCAACCAGCCCCAGCCTATCAGAGCATTAACAGAAAACACCTGCCAAAATGAAAAACTAATCAGAAAATAGATTAAGCAGTCTCCACGTACAAATGAAATTAGATTTCGATACTTATTATTATAATAAACTACCTCATGGTGGACCTGGGTCACAGAGGTTATGTAATCACAGGAGGCTCCTACTTGATTCCTTCAGATATCCCCCAGACCTCAAACAAATTACATTTGGTAGAGGCTATTTAGAGAATGAACTTCTCAAATCTTAATAATCACTAAGAAGAAACAATGATACACTAAAAGGAAAAAAACAAGGCAAAGTTCCAAGAATTCAAAAAACAAACTACCTCTTCCATTGTTTCCTCAATCTGAGCAGAAACAGGTTCGGGAGACCTAAGACCAATGGGAACAAACACTGGAGCTTTGTTTACTTCTTCTGGAGCAAGATGGTAACTTTCATCTTCATAATCAGGCTCAAAATCTTCATCATCATCTTCATCTTCTTCCTGTGAAGCCCGAAGAGTCACCAGCGTGGCCTTGGAAGCACGAGGTTCCTTCCTAGAGGTCTTACTTCGAACTCGTTTTGATCCACGCCCTCTGGTGACACTTGGTTTCATCCTGCGATGCATTCTCCTTCCACCATGATCTACCTCACACTCAGAAGTAGAAGAGGCAGTTATTCTTCGATCCAGACCAATTTTAGAGTAATTTGATTCTTTTAATAGCTGTGGAGAGCTGGATGTTTAATCAAAATAACAATAGTCATTATATGCACATGGAGGACATTTTAGTGAAACCAAAATTTCAGAATGAAATCCCACTTCAAGCATTTAAATTGAAAATGACCACAACCCATTAAGTCAAAAACTTACTCTGTGAAATTAAGAAAGAAATGTACTATTACTACCAGTTCCTTATTCAGAGTTCATTCTTAGTTACCTACCTACAAATTTTTCATAGTAAGTTTTTAACTCTGGGCCATTTTTTCCTTGCTATTTAAGTGAAGATGGGATATAAGACTAGAAATTATTAGAAGAATATAAAAAAAGGAAAATGGTCCAATAAAACAAAATGAGCTCAAAAAGAAGTGATACTCTGAGGGCTGCTGGGGGGAGAAGGGAGAGGGTGGCTGGGTTATAGACATTGGGGAGGGTATGTGCTATGGTGAGTGCTGGGAAGTGTGTAAGCCTGACGATTCATAGACCTGTACCCCTGGGGCTATTAATACATTATATGTTAATAAAAATTTTTAAAAAATTTTTTTAAAGTGATACTGGTGTATCCTACTGGGTAAACAGACTAGGTTAAAATAAAGAAGGAAAGGCAAAAAATCCACCAGAACAGTTGTTTTTTTAGAACTTAAGTTCTTTTCCACTTTCCTTAAAACCTACAGAACATGAAATACACCCTTCAGGTGTATTTGTGACCCCACCTGAACTAGCACTTTAATTATTTAGGTAACAGATAATGCTACTTTGGTCAGGCTTCCACTCATGTCTAATATACTCAATATCCAGAAATTTTAACTGTAGGAAAGAAAAATCTTCCTAAGAATACCGGAAAAAGGTAAACTTTAATAAATAAAAATCCTAAGCGGGAAAGGAAAAGACCTGTAATCAACCAATTACACTTTTCTTAACAAACCATCTTTTTACTCTACCAGTAAGTTATGGCAAGACATCCATAAAAAGTTACTTTTATTTCTTATTCTGAAAGTATTTGTTAAATAAAACTTTACCTTGATAGTTTACTGAGACACTGCTCTTCAGCAACTGAAGATACAGAATTATCCCCTACAGTTTTTCCTCCAACACTTCCTGATGGTCCAACTTCTAAATGAGCACTGCTTTGGGCCAAACTAGCCTCCGTGGAATCAACACAATCTTTTCTTGCTGAAACCTCCAAAGATGTCAGAAACTCAGCCTTTTCCTTAAGTTTAAGGAGAAATAGCTCATATTACCAAGGAAACAATATTTACAATCATTTGGTTCAGTGGCTAGGCCTAAAGCTCTAAGTTTACACACATATAAATGACTGGTTTCTAACTTTTTATATTAGAAGGTCACTCAATTTTTATAAAATTAGTTATAATACAAAAGACAAAACTGTATTTTTTAAAATTCTCTCCTTCATGATCTTGACAAAACAGAGCCCACTGACAAAAAGTATTTTTTTCAAACTTACTTTTTGAAGGAGGTGGGTGTCAGAATCTCGGGGCTGCAGCAAATTATCTTCTGGCTTCCTTGCCTCTCTCTCATCCGCTCTGTCTTTTTCTATGCCTGGCTCATCTTTCTTACCATGTGCTCGTCCCAAATTTGGCTTAACCTTTCGGAACTGCCTTCTTACCAAATGTGCTGGACTAGGAACAGACCTTTTAGGTTCATGTCTAGAATGAAGTACAAATTATGATGAAAAACCAAAATCAGAATTCCATATCAACAAGAGAGCTGTTATATCAAACAATTTTGAACACAAACCAATACTATGTTCAAAGGACTGCATATAAATTGGCTTTAAAACCAAGAACATAAAATGAAACCATGTATGCTGATAAAAAGAATATAAAAGCTTTTATAATTTCCATTTTCTGTACAGTCTGGAAAATAGTTTTCAGTAATATTAATCTTTTTTTACTTCACTCATAGATTCTGGTTTGTAGTGTCATGGTACATTAAGTAATTTTCAGAGAGATAACTAGATACAAAAAAAAAAACAAAACAAAAACCTGCCAGTAGTTGAACATGAATTTCACAATGGTACTTTTTTTTTTTTTAAGATTTTATTTATTTATCTGACAGAAAGAAAGAGAGAGAGAGAGAGAGCACAAATAGGCAGAGCAGAAGGCAAAGGGGAAAGGGAGAAGCAGGCACTCCACCGAGCAGGGAGCTCAATGCGGGACTTGACCTCGGACTCCAGGATCATGACCTGAGCCGCAGGCAGCAGCTTAACCAACTGAGTCACCCAGGTGCCCCCACAATGGTACTTTAAACAAATATCTTCAACTGGGCTCTGACGCATGAACAAATACATAATGTCACAACATCCTTGGTCCTTCTGGTTCAAGACCAGGCTTGAAAGCCAGAGTCCATTCTCCCATCACAGACCTATCAGTTTATGGAAAAAGGTTTACTGATAGCCACTGTCAGAGGATCTCAAAATAATCATTTTGTGTCTGCCCAATCAGAAAAAGACAAGGTTTAACATTCAACAGAGTAGGTATAGTTCCCAAAACAACCCCTGAAGAGCTATCTTAAGTTCTCCTGGAAAATATTTTAATAACTGGCAAGGATCTGAATTTTGAATTGAGAAGCTTAAAACTAATATAAACCTGGATATTATAAAGAAAATTAGGCATGTAAGTATCTATGAGGAGTTCTCTGAAAGATCTATATTAAAGAGTAATTTTTTTTTAAGATTTTATTTATTTATTTGACAGACAGAGATCACAAGTAGGCAGAGAGCCAGGCAGAGAGAGAGGAAGGGAAGCAGGCTCCCCGCTGAGCAGAGAGCCTGATGTGGGGCTCGATCCCAGGACCCTGAGACCATGACCCGAGCTGAAGGCAGAGGCTTTAACCCACTGAGACACCCAGGTGCCCCTTAAAGACTAATCTTAAGTAATATTTCTAACAAATTACCTAGCAGAGAAGTACTCAGTTACATTACCCAATGTTCCAACTCTGCCAAACTCTTCTGGCAGCAAAACACCAAGGAAGTTCCCTGGAAATTCTAACAAGGTTATGATGCTGGCTAAATACATTCCAATGTAGGCCAATGAATTTAGGGAAACAGATTATATTTAAATAAGTTATTTACAGTCACCTGTGATTCTACAAAGGCAAGTAAAGTAAAATAAATATATAAACCTAACACATTACTTAAGTCAAAAGGGACAAGAAGACAATACTGGACTTAGGAACAACCTAATTTTAAAACTAAAAAGATTTTTACTCTGAAGAAAGTATCAGTCATGATAAAGTGAACAGCTGGAATAAATTTCATGAATAGAAAAAGGGTTTTCAAGAGAAAAGAAAGGGGGTGGGGTGGGCTGGATCATGGGTTTCCATAAAAAAATTAAAAGTTTGATTTCTCTCATTAAAAAACATAAAAGTTCAGCATAAAATCTCTTGAAACACGTAAAGTTTCTTTCAGGAAAGTCTGCTTATGTAACTACAGGAATCTGCTAGTCTGAAAGTCACAAATCCTGAAAACTTAAGTTTAAAAACCAATTTGCCAGTGTTTATTTTGAACAAGCCATTCAAATCCTCTTGGTCTAGCTAGTTAATGACAAATGAGAGCATTAGGAAAGGCTGAACTTGAAGGTCACTAATCTTTAAAGGCTCAATAGAGTCAAAATCAAATACTTACAATGGTCTGTATTCCTTACAATATAATCTGCCATTCTCCCTAGTCTGCCTTTACCCTTTTCTACATCTACTACTCTCCTTCTTCTTCCCCGTTTCACACAGGTCCCTTCACTGTTCCTCAAACAAGCCAGGCATGCTCTCACCTTAAGTACTTCGAAGCTGCTGTTCCCTCTCCCCTTAGACAACCCCTGGACCTGCTGTTCCTTCACTTTTTTTGGGTCTTCCCTCTAGTGGTACCCTTGCAATGAAGCATCCTTTGATCACTGCTAATCATAATGTAATATTAAGGTGCCTGGGTGGCTCAGTTGGTTAAGAGTCCAACTCCTGATTTTGGCTCAGGTCATTTCAGGGCCAAGAGATCAAGGCCTGCATGGGGTTTGGCGCTCAGTGGGGAGAATGCTTGAGATTCTCTCTCTCTCTCCCTCTGCCCCCTCCCTGCTCACTCACACGTGTGCACATATATGCGCACCTGCTCTCTAAAATAAATAATCATTTTTTTTTTAAAGTAGTATCAGAGGGGCGCCTGGGTGGCTCAGTGGGTGAGCCTCTGCCTATGGCTCAGGTCACGATCTCAGGGTCCTGGGATCGAGCCCCGCATCAGGCTCTCTGCTTGGCGGGGAGCCTGCTTCCCCCTCTCTCTCTGCCTGCCTCTCTGCCTACTTGTGATCTCTGTCTGTCGAATAAATAAATGAAATCTTTAAAATAAAAAAAAAATAGTATCAGTAATAATAAAGCAGATTTTAAGTAATAAATAAAAGTGGTAGTACTGAAATATCTTCACCTTTCTTGTCTAACTCATTTAGAAGATACCATTCTTAACATTTGGTTTGGGATATTCTAGGATATAGCATTTCCTATGTATGAATTTTAGTCAGTAGGATATAAATTTCTAAATATACCAAGAACTTAAGAACTTGTCTACTATTAAATTTAGTTTTAAAATAAAATATGAGGAGGCTCACCAAACTTTGTGGAGAAATTATAAATGAAGAGAATAACAATCATGCAATTCTTATAGTATTTGAAGAAGCATATTTAAAATATTCTATTTCAGACACATGGGTGGCCCAGTCATTAAGCGTCTGACTTCAGCTCAGGTCGTGATCCCAGGGTTCTGGGATCAAGGCTCACATCAGGCTCCCTGCACAGCGGGAAGCCTGCCTCCCCCTCTCCCACTCCCCCTGCTTGTGTTCCCTCTCTCTCTGTGTCTCTCTCTGTCAAATAAATAAAATCTTTAAAAAATAAAAATTTAAAGAAATTCCATTTCATAAGTATTGCTTTAACCTTTCACAAAATTTTCTTGATGTCAAGTTCTCCAACCTTTACCTTCAGAAGTTTTATGCTTTTCTGATTAAAAGCAAACTCACCTCATCTTTTCATCTAAAACATTTATTTTGTTAAGATGAAGAGGTTCTGCAAGGACCATGTGACTCTGGTTTTCACACGTTATACCTTCTGAAACTTTGGAGGATACAACTTCAATTTCAGTTCCAACTGGAGAGCTTGGCTAAAATGACAAAAGAATGGTAGCATTTTTTTTTTCTAATACCTCCCAAAATATTTCAATCATTAGGTATTGAGTTTTTCAAAACAAAGAGTCAAACTAGGTATGCAACGTTCACTTTTTGTCCAAAATAAAACTATCTAATTCAGAGAAAAGCTTCAATTACTGCAATTATTATGTTTACAGGACACTTTAAAAACTAAATAATTATCTGTTGTGAACACCTACCACCCCCCCACCTCACCCCCAAAATTTTTCCAAAAAAGTTCAGTGATTTCTTCTGGGGATAGAGAGGTTTCAAACAAGGATTATAATGGCTTTAAATCTAGATTTTCCCTTGGTAGACAAGAGAAAAAGAAGGACAAAGAAGTAAGATCTGTTGAAAAGTGCATTACACTACTTAGATTTATACCAAAAGATGTATCAAAAAAAGACTGGTTAAACTGTCAAACAGCAGAATGTTATGCAGCAATGAAAAACGATATACCTCTATACTTCTTGACATGAAAAGTCACTTAATATATTAAGTAAAATATAAGTTACAAAATAACATGTACGCAGTGACTTTACTATTTAAAAAAAATATCTTATGTTTCAGTAATCTCTATACCTGATGTGGGGCTTAAACTTACAACCCGAAGATCAAGAGCTCCATTTTCTACCACCTAAACCAGCCAGGTGCCCCAGAGATTGTATTATTTAAATTTACATAAGTGTACACACATGCATGCATGGAGATATACCCAGTAAGATACGTCAGAAGGTTTTCAGTGGTTACCTCAATATTATTATATTATTTTGTATTAATTGAATATTTTCATAATGAATAGGTTCATTAATTAGGGGAAAAATCTATTTTCATTTTTAAAAAAATCTAGAATGGTAAATCTAGAAAAGAACTAGATATGTTATATATTCATTGATGAGAACGTCACATGCCTATATTCTAAACCTAGTCTAAGATGTCATTTCGTATTTTAACATGCATTAGAAGGCTCAATTACATAACAATAACTTACCACAGTCAAGAACTTTTTTGTTTCATCCTTTTGTACTACTGTTCTTTCTTCCTTAATTATGGCTTCAGCTTCACCTTTTTCTATTTGCCTCGGTCCAGCCTTTGTTATGTTTGGTCTGGGTCTCTGAAGTCGGCTCCTTACTATTCGAGCAGTTGGGATAACGCTTTCCTTGACTTCTTGTTGAAAAGTGTTTGTTCTAGGAGACCTAGAAGAGAGGACAGAGAGAAAGAGAGGGAACTGGACTGTAAAAAGATGAAAACTACTGTAAGAACATAAAATTTGAATCTTCTCTAACAAACTATAAAATCAGATTACTTCAATGATATATATTTTTATTTAAAAAAAATAGTTATTTTAATCCTGAAAAGGTAATGAATTTATATAATGTAGAAAATTCAAATTCATGGAGCCAAAAAGTATAAAGGTAGTTGCCAGGGAATGGAAGAAGGGGAATGGGGTATTCTTGTTAACGGGTGAAGTTTGAGGTTGGAAAAATGAAAAAGTTCTGGAGATATATGTGGTAACTGTTGCAAAACAACATGAATGTCCATTTTTGTGAATGTGCATTAATAACACCAGACCATCTATATAAAAAAAGGTTAAAACTGTAAATAAGTCTTCTACTACAATTTTTTTGGTAAATATTTTATTTATTTATTTGACAGAGAGAGAGAGAGAGAGAGCACAAGCAGGGAGAAGCAGGGGGAGTAGCAGGCAGAAGGAGAGGGAAAGGCAGGCACTCACTAAGCAAGGAACTCAAAGTGGAACTCGATCCCAGGACCTCAGGATCATGCCCTAGCTGAAGGCAAATGCTTAATCAACTGAGCCACCCAGGCATCTTTCTACCACAGTTTCTAAGAAGATAATGAATACAATCTTTATATACATGTATTTTTAAATGCAGTGGTTTGCATAAAACCCTAAGTAGCTAATAGTGAATACAGGCAGGTAAGCATCAAAAGGTGTTAACTCAGTGTGATTTTCTATTTTAGGCAGTCTGACACATGAATAAAAATAAACCAAGTATTCTTGGAGAGCCTGGGTGGTGCAGTCAGTTAAGCATCCAAGTATTGGTTTTGGCTCAGGTCATAATGTCAGGGTCATAAGATCAAACCCCACAGAGGGCTGTGTGCTCAGTGTGGCATCTGGTTAAGACTCTCTTTCCCTCTCCCTCTGCCCCTCCTCCCTGAGTACTGTCTCTCAAATAATCTTTTTAAAAATAATAAATAAATAAAAATAAACCAAGTATTCTTGATATTCACTTTTAAAATACATTAACACATCTTAGTAACAATGAAGAAATACTTGAAAGAATTCTCTCATATTTTAGATTTTCCTTTGCTTTTTTTTTTTAAATATACATATATTTTAGATTTTCAAAGAAGTATCACTATTTACCCCATAGAAACAACTAATTCCTTTTCCTGGGTCTGTACAGGCTGAGACATCGCTTCAGGATTACAAGAACTTGAAGGTGAAAGGTCCTTTTCAGGCTGTATACATGGTAATATTACAGTCTCCTCCTCCCTGTGACCTGATTTGTCTTTTTCTCTTGATGTCATTAGGGAAGCCACACCCTAGAAGGCAGGTAAGGAAAATTTCATTGAGGGCTGATAAAAGTATAGGGAAATAGGAACTTTCATACACTACGAGCAAAATAAATTAGCAGAGTCTCTGCAGAGGACAACAGAAAGGTATCTACTAAAAATTTTAATTCTCAGCAAACTTACTTCTAGAAATGTATCTTACAAACATATTCAAGTAAGTAATGGAAAAGTACATATAAAGATGTTTACTATATCCATTTAATAGCCCCCCAAAAAAGCAAAGAACAAAATCAAAACACTGGGAACAAGACAAACCTATCAGTAGGGTATTGAATAAATTATAATTTGCTTATAATGGAAATCTAGAACAATTTAGAAGATAAATCTATATATACTGATCCAAAAATATGTTCATAATATTAAGTGAAAAAAATGAGAAGGCAAGTTATAACACCATTTTTGGAAAACAAAGAAAATATCCACACATTTTATTATTTATATAAATAAGTATATATACAGAAAAGAATGGGTGGACATACTCAAAATAGTTACATGACTGATTAACCTGGGAGGAAGAAATGGGACATTATAATGGACTCTCACTTTTAGATTATGTATTTTTTCAATCTGAAATTTCTATAATCAGATAAAATAATCAATAAAAAAGATACATCTTTTTAAAATATAAGAGCAGGAAGAAAAAATATAAATTTTCAAGCATTGTAAGAACTAAGCTGTTTCATTTTTTTAAAGATTTTTAAAAATTTATTTATTTGAAACAGAATGAGGGTGAGAGAGAGAGCATGGGAGGGGAGAGGATCAGAGGGAGGAGGAGACTCCCTGCTGAGCGGGCAACCCGATGCAGCACTCAATCCCAGGACTCCAGGACCATGACGTGAGCCGAAGGCAGCTGTTTAACCAACTGAGCCATCCAGGCGCCCTCTTTATTTATTTTTTAAATGGGCTCCACACTGGGCTTGAACTCACACCCCTGAGATCAAAACCTAAGCCAAAATCAAGAGTTGGACACTTAACCAACTGAGCCACCCAGGCACCCCAGAACTAAGCCATTTTAAAACACTTGGGGCACCTGGGTGGCTCAGTTGGTTAAGCATCTGCCTTCGGCTCAGGTCATGATCCCAGAGTCCCGGAATGGAGCCCTACATGGGGCTCCCCACTCAGCAGGGAGTCTGCTTCTCCCTCTGACCTTCCCCCCGTCATGCTTTCTCTCTCTCTCTCTTGAATAAATAAATAATTAAAAATAAATAAAAATAAAACAAAAAGAATTTTAATCCAAAATTGCACTTTTTAAAAAATACATCATTTTATTAACTTTTTTATGAACTGGGATTTTTTATTATTATTAAAGTACAGTTGACAATGTTTTATTAGTTTTAGATGCACAACACAGTGATTCAACAATTCTACTCAACATTCACCATGGTAAGTATAGTCACTATCTATAACCATATGTTACTATATTATTACATATGTTACTATATTATTAAGTATATTCCCTATATTGTGCTTATCTGTTACTTATTTCATGACTGAAAGTTTGTGCTTCTTAAAAGATTTTTATTTTTGGGGCGCCTGGGTGGCTCAGTGGGTTGGGGCCTCTGCCTTCGGCTCAGGTCATGATCCCAGGGTCCTGGGATCGAGCACCACATCGGGCTCTCTGCTCTGCAGGGAGCCTGCTTCCTCCTCTCTCTCTCTCTCTCTCTGCCTGCCTCTATGCCTACTTGTGATCTCTGTCAAATAAATAAATAAAAATAAAATCTTTAAAAAAAAAAAAAGATTTTTATTTTTAAGTAATCTTTATACCCAACATGAGGTTCAAACTCACAACCCCAAGATCAAGAGTTTGCATATTTACCGACTAAGCCAGCCAGCAGCCCTGGGAAGTCTGGACCTCTTAATCCCCTTTTCCGATATCCCCCATCTTCCCACCTCCTTCTCCTCTGGCAACCACCAGTTTGTTCTCTGTATTTGAGTCTGTTTCTGTTCATTTATTTTTCAGATTCCACATGTAAGGGAAATATATGGTATTTATCTTTCTCTGACTTATTTCTCTTAGCACAGCATCTCACTTGGCAAAAGGGACTTCTAGGCCCATTCATGTTACTGTATATGGCAACATCTCATTCTTTTGTATGGCTGGGTAATATTCCAGTGTGTGTGTGTACGTGTGTGTATAAAACTCTTCTTCATTCACCTCTTGGTGAGTACTTTGGTTGCTTTCCTATCTTCTCTATTGTAAATAATGCTATGATAAACAAAAGGGTGCATCTGTCTTTTGGAATTAGTCTTTTCATATTGGGCAAATAGTACTATAATTACTGCATATGGTAATTCTTTTTATTCTTTGAGGATGTTTTCCACAATGGCTGCATCAATTTACATTCCCATCAACAGTGCATGAGGCTACCTCTCTCTCCATATTGTTGCCAACACTTGCTATTCCTTGTCTTTTTGATACTAGTTAATCTGTCTGGTAGGAGGTGATAGCTCATTGTGGTTTTGATTTGTGTTTTCCTGATGATTAGTGATGTTGAACATTTCTTCACGTACCTGTTGCCATCTGCATGGCCAAAAAAGTACTTTTATATTTAGAACACTCAACTTATAAATGTTAAAATTTCCATTCAAAGTTTTTGATACTATATACACAATCTTAATTTGTTGCGGACCAAGTTAACAAAGTAAATAAAACACGTCCTTTAACTCCTCTCAAGCTTTTAACTTTTTAATTCACCTTAACAACAATGTAAAATAAAGTATGACTATCAAATTATTCTTCCTGTGAAGAAACTAGCTGCATCGTTTGGCTATGGTCACTCAATGAACTTATTAGATCCCAGGATTCTTAAATTCCTTTCCATGACATACTTGCCCATCATGAGAGATACAAGATTCTTACAAAACCACATGGAATAATGAGGCACATTAATTATGGCAAGACTAGTATCACATGCAGTAGAAGTTATATGAAAATATCTGTTAAATGTTAACCCCAGCTGTTTTACTTTAGTAACAACAGCTAAGACAAAAAACATCCACCTTGAATAGCACTCACATGTTGAGAAGGGAGAGTGTTCACCTGTTCACTGGTCTGCTGCACCACAACAGTCTCAGTTTTATCAGTTTCCAATTTCTTCCCACGTACATATTTTTCTGCTTCTGTAGTCTCTCTCTTTAAAGTTGCTCTTGCTAAGTTTGGTTTTGGTCTCTTGAATCGGCTTCTCATAAAAGGTGCTGGTTTAACTTCAGGTGGCTTCTGCTCTTGAGGAAGAGATTTGCTTTTGGAAAAAAGATTATCAAACTTTAGAATGAGCTGAAGGGGCAATGAGAACAGAGTCTTAGGACAACTTGAGAAACTGGAAATAAATATTAAATCTAATTCTTATTTTTAATTTTTAAAAAATATTTTTATTAACACAATGTATTATTTGCCCCAGGGAACAGGTATGTGAATCATCAGGCTTACACTTTTCACAGCACTCACCATTAACACACACCCTCCCCAATGTCCCTTTAAATCTAATTCTTAACAGATAAACAAATTGGGCTATATGGCAGATCCTGAAAAATACAAGAAGTACAACTGAAACATAAGCCTATCATCTTTGCAAAGAGAAAATACCAGCTCTCACACCCATACTGATTTAGGAGTATGTGTTACATCCAATTCTGATGTTAGTAATTCTCTCAATCTAGTGTCATAATGACCTCAAAATTCTCTCCCTATCATTCCAGAGCTTAGAAGCAGTTTAACACTATGCTATAGATGCATCTTGAAATCTTATTGATAATCTGAAAATGTCTCCTTAGATGCTTTGTCTTGGGCACATGGGTGGCTCAGTCAATTAGCGTCTGCCTCTGGCTTGGGTCATGATCCCAGGGTCCTGGAATCAAGCTCCACATCAGGCTCCCTACTCAGTGGGGTGCCTGCTTCTCCCTCTCCTTACCTTCTCCCTGCTCTTGCTCTCTCCCTCCAATAAATTTTTTTTTTTAAATAAAAAACATAGATGATTTGTCTTTAAAAGCACACAGACCAATGTTTGTACCTTAAATTAGTATTTGAAAACTGCTCTGGAACATCTGGAGATAGCATCCCCTGGTCGTCTGTTTTATCAGGTTCAGAAGTCTGTAAAGAAGTCTCCAAACAACTCAAGTGACCTGACAGTTCCTTTTCAGAATTTTCTTCTTCTTCAGGTGTTTGCACCACGGATAGTACTTCACTGCTAACATTCTAGAGGAATAGTCACAGGAAATCGGCACAAATGGAAAATGTCACAATCATGTGAAATTCAAGTAACTGGAAACTTGAAGTTTTTTGAAGATTTTATTTTTAAGTAATCTTTACACCCCACATGCAGCTCAAACCTATAACCCCAAGATCAAGAGTTACATGCTTTAAAAAAAGGTCACATGATCCACCGAATGAGCCAGCCAAGCAGCCCCACTGGAAACAAGCAGCTGGGTGGCTCAGTCAGTTGGGCGTCCAACTCTCATTTTCAACTCAGGTCATGATCTCAGGGGTGTGGGATCAAGCCCACAAAGCGCTTCATGCTGAGCGCGGAGCCTGCCTTAGACTCTCTGACTCTCTCCAAGGCCCACCCCATAAGTGCTCTCTCTCCCTTTCTAAAATAAAGTAAAATTTTAAAAATATTTTTAAAAAAGGAAGAAAAAAGAAAATTTAAAAGTGGAGGGAAGGTGGGGGTCACCTGGATGGCTCAGTCAGTCAAGCATCTGACTGCTGGTTTCAGCTCAGGTCATGGTCTCAGGGTTCTAAGATCGAGCCCTATGTTGGGCTCCATGCTCAGAGCAGTCTGCTTAGTCCACCCCTCCCACTTGCTCTCCTTAAATAATTAAAAAAATAAAAAAATAAAAGTGGAGTGGGACAGGAAATAAAAAAAGAAAGACATTTGGTCAAAAGAAATAATTCTACTATATGTTCATATTAGAGTTAGCACTAATCCAGTCTAATTCCCTACACTCCTTTTAGCTAAGATTAACTTCAAACTGACATTAAGAATAGTAACTTAACCACATTTAAATATATTTTTAAGTTACTTTTTTAAAAGATACATAGTTTCTTTAAGGTCCTAAAACACAGAATTTAGGGCTGGGAAAGACTTAAAGCTTTTAGAGATTTTAAATTTTGTGAGATTTTAAATTTTGTGGGATTTAAGAGCAATAATCACCGTTTTTGATAATTTTTCCCTGAAAAAGTGTTCAAAAATAGGTTTTCTAAAGAACAGAAAAATACATACTTTGATAGTAAGTGAAGACATAGTGTTGCAGCAACTACTACTGCTCTGCATTAAATCTGTGTCATTTTGTCTCGAGGTCCTGGTCTCCTCTGCTCCATATTTCCTTAAAGAAATGTCTATTTTTCCAGTTTTTTCCAAATCTGCAGCCATTTCTTCAGGAGCACTAATCTCTTCTGATCTGCTTTTCTTTAAGGAAATGTCTCCAGTTTCTTTTGATTCTGCCTCTGTTTCTTCAATAGCAGCCGTCTTTCCTGATACCTTTTCCATCAGGGAAAGATCTCCTTCTCCAGTTTCTTTCAAATCAATCTCCCTTTCCCCCATGGCACTGATCCCCAATAGTACCTTTTCCCCCAGGGAAGATCCCTTTTCAATTTCTTTCCAATCTGTCTCCATTTCACCTTGAGTCTTAGCCTCTGGGGCCTTTTCTTCTATGTCTATTTCTCTTCTTTCAGTTTCTTCCAAATGTGTTTCTCTCTCCTTAATGGCATCAACAATCTCTGGTACATTTTCCCTTACAGAAACCTCACTTCCAGTTTCTTCTAAATTTGTTTCTACTTCATCTATAGTGCTGACCTCTGGGGCATTTTCCTGCAGGGATATTTTTCTTCTTCCAGTTTCTTCCAAATCTGTCACTCTTTCTTCAGTGACATCAGACACCTCTGATACAGTATCCCTTGGGGAAACCTCTCTTCCAGTTTCCTCAGTGACATCAGACACCTCTGATACAGTATCCCTTGGGGAATCCTCTCTTCCAGTTTCCTCCAAATTTATCACTCTTTCCTCAGTGATATCAGACACCTCTGATACAGTATCCCTTGGGGGAACCTCTCTTCCAGTTTCCTCCAAATTTATCACTCTTTCCTCAGTGACATCAGACACTTCTGATATAGTATCCCTTGGGGAAACCTCTCTTCCAGTTTCCTCCAAATTTATCACTCTTTCCTCAGTGACATCAAACACCTCTGATACAGTATCCCTTGGGGAAACCTCTCTTCCAGTTTCCTCCAAATTTATCACTCTTTCCTCAGTGACACCAGACACGTCTGATACAGTATCCCTTGGGGAAACCTCTCTTCCAGTTTCTTCCAAATTCTTCACTCTTTCCTCAGTGATATCAGACACCTCTGATATAGTGTCCCTTGGGGAAACCTCTCCTCCTATTTCTTTCAAATCTGCCTCCATTTCCACAGTGCTGGACATCATTTCTGGTATCTTCTCTCTTGGAGACTTGTCTCTTTCAGTTTTCCCTAAATAGGACTCCTTTTCCTTAGTAGAATTAGCCTCCACTGATATGCTCTCCCTTGGTAAGGTTTCTTCCATTCTTATAATTTCTCTCAAAGGTGCTGCAAACTGCCCAGATTCAATCTCCTCTGACACCTCTTTCTTTGAGAAAATTTCTCTTCTTCTAGCTCCTCTTCCTATATTTGGCTTTGGTTTCTGAAATCGAGTCTTTAGAACAGGGACCTTCTTATCCTCTTGAATACTATATAAGTATAAAAAAAAAAACACACATACAATAAAATTTTAAACCATACTGCCAGCTAAAGAAAGGATGGTTGAGAAAATATTACTGAAAGACGAGGAATTCTCAACTAAAAAAATAAATTAAGAAAGCCTCAGGCATCTCAGGGTAAAACCTAAAAATTAAAGGGAAAAAACCATGTTTTGAAATCATGAGTTTTTAAAATATCTACTCACATAGAGACATGTATAAAGAGAAATCTATCAATAAGGTCAATTAGAGTAGTAGTCAACTAGCTCTGAACCATACCTAATTGTCAACCACACAATCCTTCCCAAATACTGGCTAAGAGTCTCCAGTCCTCCGCAATGGAGCTAGACCAAATTATGTCTACTATTCCTACCTCTTGGCCCCTCCTATCCTTTATCCAGACATATGCATGGCCTTAAGAGTTAGGCAACGCATTTATATGGCCAGATTTGACCAGCATCTCAAATAGCCATACTGAAGTATGACCTGAACAAAAAAGTATAAGAAAGGCCAGACTTTAAATGGGAAGATTGAAAAAATGCTAGTAATAGTTGAAACTAAAAGGGCACCTGGGTGGCTCAATTGTTAGGCATCTGCCTTCAGCTTGGGTCATGATCCCAGGGTCCTGGGATCAAGCCCCACATTGCACTCTCTGCTCAGCAGAGAGCCTGCTTCCCCCTCTCTTTCTCTCTCTCTCTCTCTCTGCCTATTTGTGATCTCTGTCTGTCAAATAAATAGATTAAATATTTAAAAGGAAAACAAAACAAAACAAATAATAAATAGTGGGGCGCCCTGGGTGACTTAGTCGTTGAGCAGCTGCCCTTGGCTCGGGTCATGATCCCGGGGTCCTGGGATCGAGCCCCGCATCGGGCTCTCTGCTCAGTGAGAAGCCTGCTTCTCCCTCTCCCCCGGCTTGTGTTCCCTCTGTAGCTGTATCTCTCTCTGACAAAATAAATGAATAAAATCTTAAAAAAAAAACCACACATAAAAAACTACGTATAGTAGTGCAAAGGAGTCCACTATTCTGTTCTCACTACTTTTGTGCACACTGAATATTTCCAAAGGAAAAACATTTTCCAAAGTATACTAGTATTTCCATAGATTTTGTTTGGTACCCTCCAGAGGGGACATAACAAATTAAGAAAACCGCATGTGGCTAAAAGAAGTATGTGTTTCTATATATGGGTTTTTCATAAAATTTATGTGAATAAAGGTCATATGTGGATCAATCTAATCCCAAAGAAACAGTGAGAAGAAAGTAAGTTTCATTTCATGTTTGAACAGAGACATTTAATCTAATATGCATATTAATCAGGTCTAATTTATGAGGAGTAAATCAACTCATCAAATCACTAGTAACTAAGAAATTAAGAAGAAAGCTATGGGACGCCTGGGTGGCTCAGTTGCTTAAACGGCTGCTTTCAACTCAGTATGATCTCAAGGTCCTGGAATCAAGTTCCGCATCGGGGTCCTTGCTCAGTAGGGAGCCTACTTCTCCCTCTGCCTCTGCCTGTCACTCTGCTTGCTCGTGCTCTCTCTCTCTCTCTCTGACAAATAAATAATAAAATCTTAAAAAAAAAAAAAAAAGCTATGACATAAATTGCCCTGAAAAGTCTAGTTATATAGTGAATATCATGTAATCTGATACATAAAAAATCTATCTGATTTGCTTAGGTTTTAAAAAATTGATTAAACATTTCTAAAACCTCATACAAAATTCAAAGATTACATAACCATTAAGATGATGCTTACCTTACACATTCATTAACATTCATTTGGAAAAAATTATCTTCTTTCTCAGATTGTAATGTGATGTCTTCAAAGTCAACGTTTTTACATGACTGATCTTCTACTTGTTCAGGACTCTTAACAACAAACACATTTTTAAGTTTTCACAATGAAACACTCATTTATAAAAAATTGCATTGAAAACTTTGTCCAATTTGAGTATAAAGAAAATGGTAAATGTTTCACAATTATAAAATGATACTCAAAGGACACTTTTCAATGTTATTTAAATATCTTTAAAAAATCTCATAAGCTACACCTTCTACCTTATCTCAAAGCCCCCATTCTTTTCCTCTTAATCAGAAAGCAAGTTATAGCACTTCAGTTGTCTCTTAGAATTATTCCCAGGGGTCTGTCTTCTGCTTAGTACCATTACCGTATAGACCTTGAGAATTTTAACAAAAGAAATTCAAATGTAACTATGATCTGAACTCTTACCCTTATCATAAAGACTAGCTATTATGTAAATAACCTAAAATTCATCATCTTTGCTCTTGGAATTCTATTTTAATAGGAAGCTTTTAACATTTTACTGTGTTTAAGCCAGAGCTAAAATTCACATATCTAGTTATATTTTCAAAAAAGAGGCATAATCTAAACACCTAAATAATGTGGAGGGGGGAGGCAAGTAAACATGAGGTAGTAAGATCAAAGCAGATGCTCCATTATGTAAATGCTCAAAATCTAGATTGCTCAGAGTTAAACAGCTTTACAAGTAGCAAAGCTGCTGGCTCTTAAGATTTTGGCTTTAAATTTAATATACAATGTATACAACGGTACAGTCTTGCTGTTTAAAGAGGGGGGTAAAAGAAGGCTTAATACTTGTTTAATAAAAAAATTGGAAAGAATCAGAGTACTTACATCTCTAGCAACACAGGATTCACTTTCATTCTTTTTTACATTGGCCTCAATTTTTTCCTGTGATGCTAGAATTTTTCTTTCAGCAGCTTTACCTACATTTGGCTTTGGCCTTTGCAATCGGCTCCTCATTAGTCGTGCTGGTCTGACAGTCTTTGTTTGATCATCTTCCTGCAGACCAATTTTTTCACTCAAACCAGAACTACAAAAGAATAGAACTATGGTTATTCTGAAGTTACATGTTTGTTTTCAGTACTGCCTTCTCCAAGATACGAATAAGTAAACCATTTGGAATATAAAAATAATTACAAGTGGGGCGCCTGGGTGGCTCAGTGGGTTAAGCCTCTGCCTTCGGCTCAGGTCGTGATCCCAGGGTCCTGGGATTGAGCCCCATGTCGGGCTCTCTGCTCAGCGGAGAGCCTGCCTCCACCTCTCTCTCTGCCTGCCTCTCTGCCTACTTGTGATCTCAGTCTGTCAAATAAATAAATAAAATCTTTAAAAATAATAATAATAATAATTACAAGTGTCCTCAAAAACATCCTCAAAAGGGCGCCTGGGTGGCTCGGTGGGTTAAGCCTCTGCCTTCAACTCAGATCATGATCCCACAGTCCAGGGATCGAGCCCCGAATCGGGGCTCTCTGCTCAGCAGGGAGTCTGCTTCCCCCTCTCTTTCTGCCTGCCTCTCTGCCTACTTGTGATCTCTGTCTGTCAAATAAATAAAATCTTTAAAAAAAAAAAAATCCTCAAAGTTACCCCTGTTTCTAAACCTTAACGTTTTGGGACAGACATTATCCTAGAACCCTAACTACAAAAATAATTTCATCACAAAACTGAAAACCATCTATATTTGACATACACTTAATACCATTCTCCACTAAGAATACTAGTTTGTAATGTACACCTCTAGGGCCCTAGACAAAGATTATGGCATAAATGTACAGTCCAGAATCCAATGGTTCAAATTCATATTACAGTAAGACCTACTCTGAATCTGGATTCCTAGTCAAATATTCCTTTTGAAACTACCTGCTATCCAGAAACATGTACCTTAACCATTAATTAATCTAGTAAAACTTTGGTAAAATCCTGTTAGTAAGCTGAGGAAGAAATGTAATTGCAAACTCAATAGATCCGTATCATAATTTATTTCTCCAGCAGCATAAAGAGCACTACTGAAATGTTTCAATACACCTACAGTTAAAAGAAGACTTAAGCACACTAAATGGAAATAAAATTCAGACATTATCCAGTACAGAACTTATTACAGTCATTCTTAAAATCTACTTGAATTCTACTTCCTAAATACTTACATAGATACAGTCTCAGCTTCTGAGTTCTCTCTCTCTATATTCTCCATTCCAGAAATGTCCAATGTATTCACTTTATCCTCTTCCATATGATTCTATAAATTTAATTTTTTACATTTTATTGACTTAACATAAAAAAGTCCAAACTTGGTAATAAATGGAAATTAAAACAATGACATTTCATTTTTTGTTCTTCTAATAGTAACAGTTCTATAAATCATCGATGCAGCTGTGAACACTATAAAACATGTAATTCCACCTACTACTGACAGAAACAAAAATTGGTATATCCTTTCTGGAAAGCCTTTTGCCCAAATGAAATCAAAAGCCTAAAAAATGTTCATACTCGGGCACTTGGGTGGCTCAGTTGGCTAGCATCTGCCTTCGACTGCTGTCATGACCTCGGGGTCCTGGGATCAAGACCCATGTTGGGCTCCCTGCTCAGAAGACAGTCTCCTTTACCCTCTCCCTCTGCCCCTTGCCCCTATTACTGGTCCACGCTCTCTCTCTCTCTCTCAAATAAATAAAATCTACTAAAAAAATATTCATACTATAATACCATTTCTAAGATTCTAAGTAAATATTTAGACAAACTACAAGAATGTTCACTAGAATATTATATAAAATGTCAAACACCGTGAACAGACTAAATATTCTATAATGAATAAATGGTTAAATTCAGTTTTACCCACTAACAGAATATTATGAAGTCACTAAAGACCATGTTTTCAAAGGATATTTAATAGTATGGAAAAATATTTATGAAATGTTAAGAACTGAAGAAAGATATAAAACTGAATACTACTAAATTCTGTAATAGAAAAATTGGAAGGATATATGCTAAAATGTTGGTTGCAGCTGGATAATGAGATCACAAGTACTCTTTGTCTTGATTTTTAAAATAATCTGTACTTTCCCAATTTTCCTGAATTTTACAAGATTATAATAACCGGGGGCAACTGGGTGGCTTAGTCAATTAAGAGTCTGCCTTCTAGCTCAGATGATCCCAGGGTCCTGGGATCTAGCCCTGAGTCAGACTCCCTGCCTAGGAGGGAGCCTGCTTCTCCCTCTACCTCTGCCGCTCCCCCTGCTTATCCTCTCTCACTCTCATTCAAATAGATAAATAAAAATTTTAAAAAAATTTTTTTAATTTTTGAAAATTTATGTATGTTAAACAAAAGAGATTTGTTGCTAATGAGTATGTTTGAAATGATATGTCCTAGGTTCTAAATGCATAAACAGGAGATAAGATACATTTCATATTCATGTGTAAGTTCTCACATCTTTGTTTTAGTATCAGTTACATTATCATGTAATTATCAACTAAACAATTTATTCCCAACTACTTAGGGAAAATTTTTGTAATCTTATTTTCTATAAAGTGTCTTATTCCATACCTTTTCAAATGAAGTTTCTGCATGTAAACTCTTGCTCTCTGCATCTGTTTTACCTTGTGAAAGAACAGATTTCTTCCCAACTGCCCTTGATAAATTTGGTTTAGGTCTCTGTAGTTGTCTTCTTCCCATTAGTTTAACATTTCCTGACTGATCTGTTTCCCTAAAAATGAAAATTATTTTTATTTTTTTAAATGAACATTATTTAAATCGCACCAACACAGAGGCATAGTCAAATAAAATTTGGAAAAATTCTTTAAAAATCCACTCAGAGGCAGAAAAGAAGTCCTTTAGGTTTACTCAGACAAAGAGTAGCAAAGAAAATTGAAAAACAAGAGTTGTGAGGAGGCAACTTATTTTACCAGATGCTAAAAAGCAACTATGCAGCATTAATAACTAAAACACTGGTACTGATAACATGAATAAACAGATAAATGAAACACAAAAGAAAACATAGAAGACGACTTCAAAACACATGAAAGAGGGGCGCCTGGGTAGCTCAGTGGGTTAAAGCCTCTGCCTTCGGCTCAAGTCATGATCCCAGGGTCCTGGGATCAAGCCCCGCATTAGGCTCTCTGCTCCCACAGGGAGTCTGCTTCCTCCCCTCTCTCTCTGCCTGCCTCTCTGCCTACTTGTGATCTCCATCTGTCAAAAAAATAAATAAAATCTTTTTAAAAAACCACATGAAAGAAGTATATTAAAAAAGGCAGCATTTAAAACAGCAAGAATGAAATACAAAATAATGTATTGTTACAAACAACATCAAAAGCAATGGTGATGGGAAAACTAACACTGGGGACTAAAATAAGATTAGCTCCATTTCTCGCACTGTACTTTTAGTATGTTCCAACGTATCAGAGTTAAATAAAGCCATACAGTCAACAAGGATGAATTCTTTTATAACCCTGAGTTGGGGTAAGCCTTTATAAAGTTTAACTAAAAATTCATGAGCCATAAAAGAAAAAAAGAGAAAATTCAGAAATTTAACTACGTAAAAATCAAAACTTTCTACATGACTAAGCCAAAAGTCAAACTACCAATCAAGAAAGGATGTTTTGCAAATCACAGAACAAGGCTAATCTCCCTAAAATAAAAAGAGCTCCTACAAATAATAGCATCAAAAACTCATTTTAAACCTGGACAAAGAGAGGATCCTGAGTTGCTTAGTGAGTTGAGTGCTTGCCTCTGGCTCAGAGCATGATCCCAGGGTCGTTGGGATCCAGCCCCGCATTGGGCTCCCTGCTCAGTACACTACTACAAATGTTATTTTGTCATTTTTATGATTTTGTTTCTCTAACTTACTTTAATTGTAAGATTACAGCAAATAATATACATAACATACAAAATATGTGTTAATCATCCAATTATGTCATCAGGCTTCTGGTCAACAGTAGACCATTAGTAGTTAAGTTTGGAAGAGTCAAAGTTATTTGTGGATTTGCAACTGCCAAAGGGTCAGTATCCCTAAGCACTGTGTTGTTCCTAAGGGTCCACTGTACTTACTTACAGGTTAAAGGACAGAGGTTTAAGATTTTAAGCACTGTTTGAAAAAATAATCTACATAACCATCAGCTGAGCTTTGATTATATAAACTCTAATCCATCTATATACACTAGAACACTATGAAGTGCTCTCTTCAGCAGCACACAAACACCAGAACACTATGCACTAGGCAGCTATTCAAAAATAATAAGGAATATCTTCATGCAAAGGTATCAAGATATAAAACAAATAAATTGCAAATGGCGTCTGTGTGAGTCTAGGGGGTGTGTGTATGTGTGTGTGTCTGTACACACATATATTATCATTAGGGTTTTAAGAAGAGTAAAAAAAATATAAAGAACATGTATTTGCATTAGCTTTAAAGTACTTTTTTTTAAATCTCAGAAAGAAAATCAGAAATAAATACACATGGGGCGCCTGGGCGGCTCAGTGGGTAAAGCCTCTGCCTTCAGCTTAGATCATGGTCTCAGAGTCCTGGGATCAAGCCCCGCATCGGGCTCTCTGCTCAGCAGGGAGCCTGCTTTCCTCTCTCTCTCTGCCTGCCTCTCTGCCTACTTGTGATCTCTCTCTCTCTGTCAAATAAATAAATAAAATCTCAAAAAAAAAAAAAGAAAGAAATTACACAAGTTACTTAGAGTGAATGCAGACATAGGAGGAGGGATATTTTACTCTTTTTATACTTCTAGGTGTTTGTACCATAAGACCATTTTGCCTATTCCAAAGAGTAAACTTTCGTTAAAAAAAAAAAAAAAAAAAAGTTTCATTTTCAGTGTGACTGTGCTTTACTGAAAATAAGTAAGAATTCATAAACTAAATAGCGTGTAAGCCTATATGAGGAGTTTAGGAGGGACTCAAGGAAGTCTGAATTTCTGAGCTATCTCTTTTCAAAGGCAGATTCTTGTAGTGTTTTTATTCTGTTTTTAGTGCAAATATTAATCAATATTTACACACTAGGAAACATAATAATTTCTTTAAAGTCATCAATATAAAAAATCTACTACTTTGAAAAATGATTCAAACCAAGTAAAAGTATCTAACAACAAATGTTTAGGCTTCCAAATTATTTTAGAATTTCAGCATAAGTTACCACCGTGCATAAAATTCCTATCATGGTTATAAAAGAGCATCTTTCTATAATGAAATATAAAGTGATAAGCCCTTATGTCACAATCAGACCACAGTATAATTATGTATTAAATGGTGTACCATCCCCTTTCTAATCCCTAAAGAAAGAAACATTATCCTTTCTTAAATAAGAAATCATCACAATTTTGAAAATAAATTTTAAAATCCTAACATACAAAATACTTACAATGATTTATTTTTTAGGTCAACACTGCTTTCTTTTGTATAATTCCTTTCAACATTATTCACCTCACACAGTGCACTAATTCCAGCTTCTGATAAAGGCAAACCTGAAGGGCTTGATTCTGAAGCTTCAGTTCCTAATGATGTGGCATCTTGTTGACCACTAAGCAAATGAAAACACAGGAGGAAAAGAATTCTTAGTAATATGTGTTTTATAATAACTACTTATAATAATTATAACTACTTAAAATATTTCTTAATATATAAAACAACTGGGAAAATGATACTTTGTATTTTGGAATTATCAATATAAATATTTTGGCTTTTCTATGATCCTTCTTGTACCATATTGTTAAAAACTGTACCTTCAGGAGTGCCTGGGTTGCTCGGTCGGTTGAGCATTCAACTCCTGATTTTGACTCAGGTCATGACCTCAGGATGGTGAGATCAAGTCCCAAGTCAGGCTCCACAATGAACGTGGAGGCTGCTTAAGATTCTTAACTCTAGGGAACAACCTGAGGGCTGCTGGAGGGGAGGAGGTTGGGGGATGGGATAACTGGGTGATAGTCATTAAGGAGGGCGCTTGATATAATGAGCACTGGGTGTTATATGCAAGTGAAGAATCACTAAAATCTACCCCTGAAATTATTAATATACTATATGTTAACTAACATGAATTTAAATAAAATCTTAAGAAAGTTTTCTACCAAAAAAAAAAATCAATCTCACCCCCTCCCTCTGTCCCTCTCTCCCTACTCACACACACTCCCTCTCTCTCAAAAACAACCAACCAACCAACCAAAAAAAACCTGTACCTACAGAGAAAGTAACAGCTGCAAATTAAAAGGCATAGGAAAACACTCAAGTCAAAATGAAAAATTCTTAATTATATGGGGTTAACAAATCAAATCTATGTGCAAAATCAGAGCAATATTAAGGAATAATATCTCATTTCAATCTTATACAGGCAGGCCCTGCTTTGCATGGTAGTCTGTTAACCAAAAGTTTTATAAATCTGAGGACACAGTGCCAATATGTATAAGCTGCAGTTAGCACTGTATGCCAAGGCAAGACTGCCATATTATGATATACTCCAATTAATAATGATATAAATGATGGCCATATACTAACTGGCACCCAGAAGCAACACATACGACATTCACCTCATTCTTCCTACTGGGTGTTTTTCTTTTCCCAACTAATCAATAAGAGCTCTTTATATGTTATTTGCTGGTTAGATACCATACATAAAACCTCCCCAATAGTAGCTTGCCTTTCACTTTCCTTATGAAACCTTTTGTCAAAAGAAATAGTTTACTGTGGTCAAATTCGTCAATTTTATCTTTTAAAGTTTTGCTTTTCACACCTTAAGAAATCCTTGACATCACAAAGGTATTTCCAAATACCTTCTTCTAAAGGTTTTCAAGATTTGCTTTACACATGATTTTATTTATCTATTTATGGGGTGGGGGGCAGGAGCACACACAAGCAGGGGGAGTGGCAGGCAAACGGAAAGGCAGGCTCCATGCTGAGCAAGGAACCCAATGAGAGACTCAAGACTTGATCCTACGACCCTGGGATCAGAACCGGGCCAAACACTAACCAGTGTCTGCCAACTGACCCACAGACTAAGTGGCTCAGCTGGCAGACACTAACTAACTGACCCACTCAGCATCCTTGTAGCCCTGAATCTATCAGAAATTCAGCATACAGGGTGAAATAAGGATCGAATACTATCTAATATTAGATATATCTAAACATCTAGTGAATATTTCATTCAATCTTCACCCACTAATTTCTAATGTTACCTCTGCCCCATTTATCAGATTCCTAAATTTGTCCCCCTAGGCTTTATATTCAGTTCTGCTGAGATAATTTGTCCTTGTGCCAGTAACACACTACTTTAATTACTCCAGCTTTGGATTAAGTATTAATACATTTTCACCCAAGAAATGTATTTCAAAATGTCTTTACCACTCATGACACTTTGCTCTTGTATAATTGATAATTTAAGAATCAGCTGTTTTTACAAAACCAGCTAGAATCTTAACAGTCATTACAGGGTTGTTTTTCCCCTAAAAGGTGCCACAGTATCTTTTAGGTGTAGTTTATGAAATTAGTTATATCTCTGAAGTCACAATATAAATGTCTGTCACCGGGCGCCTGGGTGGCTCAGTGGATTAAAGCCTCAGCCTTCAGCTCAGGTCATGGTCCCAGAGTCCTGGGATTGAGCCCCGCGTCGGGCTCTCTGCTCAGCAGGGAGCCTGCTTCCCTTCCTCACTCTCTGCCTGCCTCTCTGTCTACTTGTAATCTCTGTCAAATAAGTAAATAAAATCTTTTAAAAAACAAATAAATAAATAAATAAATGTCTGTCACCTAGTAAATTAAGGACCCAAGGTCCATAGGCCCAGCTTCAAAGAAACTATTAATCTTCCAAATTGTATGAACTAGCACAGACAGACAAGTTGGACAGTATCAAACTAAAAAGCTTCAGCACAGCAAAGGAAATAATCAACAAGATCAAAAGATAACCTATGGAATGGGAGAAAAAAATCTGTAAAACATTAATCTAACACAAGCTTAATATCCAAAATATAACAGGTATGTCTATAATTCAATTAAAATAACCTAATTAAAAAATATGAAAGGGAAATGAATAAATATTTCTCCAAAGAAGACATACAAATGGCCAATAAGCATATGTAAAGCTCCTCAATCACTAATGGGGAAATGCAAATCAAAACCATAATGAAGTATCATCTCATCTATGTCTGAATAACCACCTTCAAAACACAAAGAAAACAGAAAATAGTAAGTGTTGGTGAGAATACGGAAAACTGGTATCTTTGTGCACTGCTGATGGGAAGGTAAAATAGCACAGCCACTGTGAAGAACAGTGGGGAGGCTCCTCAAAAAGTTAAAAATAAAAAAGTGCCTGGCTGGCTCATTCAGTACAGCATGTGACTTTTGATCTTGGTTGTAAGTTTGAGCCCCACATTGAAGTTAAACTATTTTTTAGGTAAAAAAATAAAATAAAATGTAAAAAAAATTAACAGAACAATCATATGATTCAGTAACCCCTGTTCTGGGTATTTATCTAGAAGAAATTAAGAAATGGAAACAGAACCTCAAAGAGATATCGGCATTCCAATGTTTATTACAGCAATATTTAAAATAGCCAAGAGAAGGAAACAGCCTAAATGTTCACTGAGAGATGCATGAATAAAAAAATATATTAAAAAAAAAAGGAAATACTGTCAAATGCTGCAACACAGATGAAACCTGAAAACATTATGCTAAGTGAAATAAGCCACTCAGGGGCGCCTGGGTGGCTCAGTTGGTTAAGTGTCAGGTCATGAGATCAAGCCTTACGTTGGGCTCCACACTGAGAGTAGAGCCTGCTGGGGATTCTCTCTCTTTCTCTGCCCCTACCCTGCCCAACCCACCCTCGTGCTTGCTCTCTCCCAACAAAAAAAGAAAGAAAAGGAAAAAAGAAACCCATGCAAACACCCACCACAATACAGCTGTAGCAAAGTAAACATCAGAACAAAAAGCAGTATCAGTGGGGCGCCTGGATGACTCAGTGGGTCAGGCCTCTACCTTCGGCTCAGGTTATGGTCTCAGTATCCTGGGATCGAGCCCTCCATCGGGCTCTCTACTCCTCGGGGAGCCTGCTTCCCCCTCTCTCTCTGCCTGCCTCTCTGCCTACTTGTGATCTCTTGTCTGTCAAATAAATAAATAAAATCTTAAAAAAAAAAAAAAAAGAGCAATATCAGAATGATACGCAGAAATGATAAAAGGGTGATTTCACCAAAATACAACTCTAGTTACGCATGAACCTAACAAGAGCTTCAAAAGAATTGAAGAAAAACAAATACAACTGAAAAGAATAACAGGCAAGTTTACAATTACAGCTGGAGACTTCACTCCCCTCTCAGTAACTGACAGGAGATGTAAACAAAGTCAGTAAAGGTATAGAAAAATACCTTGATGAAAGGATAGGGTCAGTTCTTTTCTCAGCTTTTTCACTGGAGGATAAATCCACAATGTCATCCATATTCTGTATGCAAGAAAGTTTCTGTTCCTTATTGACTTCATCTTCATTTATCTCCCTTAAAGACTGACCTTTATCTATGAATACAAAATGCACGTTATTCTAAAAACATCAACTTCTTAAAGCACAAAGGAATTTACATAAAACAGCATTTTTCCTACCAATCATTAAAGCATTCCACATTCAAGTTCCTCTATGTAAGGCAGGGATCTTAATTTTAGAACATTAATTAAAAGTTAATTTAAAAAAACAAATAAATAAAAATTTTTAAAATCTAAAAAATTTTAAAAATTAGAAAAAAGTGGGTTTTTGGGGGTTTTTTTTGAAAAAAGTTTTTTAAAAAATTTTTTAAAAAAGATAATCAACTTACAATGTGTAAGTTGTAACTGTGTTTTGAGGATCACCCCAAATTTTCTGGGTAGTCTGTAGCATTCTTTTATCTTGCTTAAATTTTAAATGGTTAAGGGCGCCTGGGTGGCTCAGTGGGTTAAAGCCTCTGCCTTCGGCTCAGGTCATGATCTCAGGATCCTGGGATCGAGGCCCGCATCGGGCTCTCTGCTCAGCGGGGAGCCTGCTTTCTCCTCTCTCTCTCTATGCCTGCCTCTCTGCATACTTGTGATCTCTCTCTCTCTCTCTGTTTCAAATAAATAAATAAAATCTTTAAAAAAAAAAAAATTTTAAATGGTTAAAATAACTTGTTACAGGTAGACTCACCTATTCTGCTCCTTCAGAAAAATCATAATTAATAACATAGTAACAGCTATCATTTACTTAGTATTTACTAAGTGACAGAAACTTTAAGCCCATCAAATGCATTATCTCCTTTAATACTGAAAACAGTCCTATTAGAAGGTGGTAAACCCATCGTAGAGAAAAAGAACCTGGGTTCAAGATCTTAGGTGACTTACCCAAGGTCTTAATTAGCAAACAAAAAAGCTGGAATCTAAACCAAGGTCTGTTTGATTTCCAAAGTCCAACTTCTTAATTACTGAGCTATTCTGCTTTTTATGTAGTATCTTTACTAGAAAACCACAAATGAGTATAATATTGTGATGCCTAAAATTATACTACGCTTCAACCAAGACTCATTTAGTAAAATCATATTGCTAAAACTGAATTACATAAAATTTAAATTCTATAGAAAGATTTTTCTGATTTGTTACTATCTTCTTCTTCTCTATTTACTTGATTATTTACTTTAAGTAATCCACATATGAATTATTAAGAGACTAAAAATGCCTGAATCTCTTAGCCCTCATACCTTAGCAAATCCTGAGTGTCAAAAGGTCTGCATTCTAAGGGAGCTAAAAAAAGTAAGTAAGAAAGAAAGAAAAAATGAGAAAGAAGAAAAGAAATGAAAAAAGGGAGGGAGGAAGAAAGGAAGGAAATGGTAGGAAGGAAGGAAGGAAACATTTCAGTAGCTCTTGTATAAAAATTAAACAACTTATTGTGGATTCAAAGGTGCTCTGTAGACATAGATCATGAACACTTGTGATTTATTAAGAGACACAAGCAATATACAGTTAACTATATACATTGTAATGACTCCTAAACACTGTTTGGTTTTAAGTAAAAAAAGATCAAGACCTGAGCTGAAATCAAGAGTTGGATGGTTAACCGGGGCACCTGGGTGGCTCAGTGGGTTAAAGCCTCTGCCTTCGGCTCAGGTCATGATCCCAGGGTCCTGGGATCGAGCCCCACATCGGGCTCTCTGCTCAGCAGGGACCCTGCTTCCTCCTCTTTCTCTGCCTGCTTCTCTGCCTACTTGTGATCTCTGTCTGTCAAATAAATAAATAAAATCTTAAAAAAAAAAAAAAAAAAAAGAGTTGGATGCTTAACCAAATGAGCTACCCAAGTGCCCCAGAAACATCCGAGAAAAACCTCCCCAGGTCACTTTGGTTTCTTTACCCCTCACCAATAAACTTTTTTCCTTTAAATTGAAAACAAAAGGATTTAATACAGTAACATGAACACAGACTACAAAACTTAAGCGCTACTAGTTGGTGCTACTCAGAATTATTTAAATTACATATCATACTATAGTACAAGTTTTCTCTAGTAATACAGGAACTATTAATGTATATAAGAAACTTACTTTCGTATGTTTCTCCTTTAGAATGACCTAACTGAACAGCGGCATTTTCTGAAAGATTTTTTACTTCTTGTTGACCAACTTCATCCTGATTCTTTCTTCTTCTTTTCTTTTGATTTAGGTCTGTTTCTAATGCAATCTGTTCTGAATCCTGTGCTGTTGAAGTCTGAGAGTGCTGTTCTTCTTCAACTATCTGAGCATCCTTTTGAGATGGTTCTGTGTCTGAAATTCTGGTGCTTGGAGATACATCTGGATCATCATTTCCTCCTTCACTGGCAACTTTTTTCACTTTGAAAATAAAAGATATTTTCATAAACATATAAATAACCTAAAGAAAAATTCTTAAAAGATGGAGAAGTTAAATACTGAAGGATATCTGGGCAAAAGTTTGAAGACAACCTAACACATCCAACTGGGAATGACTAAAGAAGTTGTAATACACTTATGCTATAAAAATCCACACAACAGGGCCGCCTGGGTGGCTGTCATTGAGCGTCTGCCTTTTGCTCAGGTCATGATCCCAGGGCCCTGGGATCCAGCCAGCGTCGGGCTCCGTGCTCAGCAGAAGGCCTGCTTCTCCCTCTCCCACTACCCCTGCTCGTGTTCCCTCTCCCGCTGTCTCTCTCTCAAATAAATAAATAAAGTCTTTAAAAAAAATCCACACAACAAATAATAATGAGGTAGGTTTTTAAGTAGTAATATGAAAGATTTTTAAAAAACTGTTGCCCAAAAAACTCAAGTTGCAGAAAATATATACGATATGATCTCATTTTTATTAAGCAAAAACAATTACATATCCTCTAAGACACACATACACTTGAATAGAAAAGTTTACTAAGAGTTATCCTTAGAAAATCTGGACAATTTGATTTCAGGGCAGGGTACAAAAGATAATTCAACAAATTTATTTTCTGCATCATTTATTTTTCAATGAACAATCTTTTTAACAAATATTTTTTTTTTATTTTTTTTAAAGATTTTTATTTATTTATTTGACAGAGAGATCACAAGTAGGCAGAGAGGCAGGCAGAGAGAGAGGAAGGGCGGGGGGAAGCAGGCTCCCTGCTGAGCAGAGAGCCCGATGCGGGACTCGATCCCAGGACCCTGAGATCATGACCTGAGCCGAAGGCAGCGGCTTAACCCACTGAGCCACCCAGGCGCCCCTTAACAAATATTTTTAAACAATTTCTAGTGCCTTTTTTATGAAGGCATATTCACAGTTAACTGTATCAAAAGATGAAAACAATAAATCACTTTTAGAAAACCAAACAAGAGATCACCATGGAGACATCAACCAAAAACAAACTTAACTTCACAACCATGGTCGATCAAGATATCTTCTCTAAAAATATCTAATCTTTAAAAAATAATAAAATTCAGTGTCATTTACGTTGATTCAAAAAAAAAAGTCGTAACAAGATTTTAAAACTGGGAAGACAACTGGATTCTCTAACAGAATAATAAGCAGTAATTTTTAAATTCTGAGACTTGTAATAATATATCTGAAAAGTTCTCCCATTAAGTAAGATACAATGACTTACTCATGCTTTCACCTATAACATAATAATAATGTTAATATACCTATTTTAATCTCCAAGGGCCATGTATAGTTACTAAAAGAAATGACTAAAGAATGAAATGATTTTGTAGTTACCAATACGATGTTTAAAATGATACACACATGCTCCAGAAAAAGAAATGCAAGATTGCTCTGTGCAGAAGAGACTTAATGTGGCAGGCCTCACTGCTATCCCTTCAAAGTCCTGCTTAAAAGGTTGGCCTTTGGGACACCTGGGTGGCTCAGCTGATTGGGCCGCTGCCTTCGGCTCGGGTCATGATCCCGGCATCCTGGGATCAAGTCCCGCATCAGGCTCCTTGCTCAGCGGGAACCTGCTTCTCTGTCTGCCTCTGCTTGCCACTCTGTCTGCCTGTGCTTACTCTGACAAATAAATAAATAAAATCTTTAAAAAAAGAAAAGGTTGGCCTTTGGGCTGTGTCTGGAAACTTGCTCTTGGGGAGAATTCACACCAGCCTGACAAAAGTGGCCTAAAATGTTTGTACAAACAATGTGGTTTATGCTGAAAAACTATTTTCATTTTGGGAGTTCTGAATTCTGATATGTGCCAGGCAGAGGGTGTCTATATGACCAACTTCCAATAAAAACCTCAGATACTGAGTTTCTAACAAGCTTTGCTGGTAGACAATTTGTTACGTATCTCTTCATGACTTGTTGCTATGGGAATGAAGCAGCATATCCTGGGTAACTCTAGGTGAGAGGACTCATAAGCTTGCACCTAAATTCCCCTCAACTTGGAGCCACATGTCTTTCCCTCTGCTGATTTTATTCCATATCCTTTTACTGTAACAAATCTCAACTGTTTAAATATAACTATATGCTGGATCTTGTGACTCTCCAAGCCAATAATCAAACCTGGCAGTAGTCTTGCAGACCCCCAAAGCAGGCTCTTATAGCCCTAGGCTCAAGTCCTGCCTCTTCCACTACTAAAACTGTGAGACCTGAGGAAAAAGGAACAAGATCTCCAAGGCTGTTTCCAAGTGACTAAAACAAACAGAAAGGGTCTGGGATGTGGACTACCTAACATACAAAGTTCGCCACAGTTCCATGATTCTTTAAAGTACTGGAATGTTTAAACATTGTCCTCCTAGAGGTAAACATTGTCCTCCTAAACCAAAATTCATATAATTAAGAAAGTATCTGCCTAAAAATACAAATACCTATATACAAACAAGTTCTACCCAGTACAAGTCAACATTAACCCTAAGAAATAAACTGTGCTCAAACAATACAATCCAGTCACAAGAAAAAGTATCAGAGTTCCACTTTTTAAATATTATAACTTACTGCCAGGTTATACAAAGGAGAATCATGATAAGTAACCAAACACGACACCCCCAAATTCCAATGCTCTTTTATTAGCTACAACTATGTCCTAGCTGCAATAAAGATGTCAAATAGACCAGCCATGCCAATTATAAAATTTACAGGGAAGTACTATTTTGGGCAAGATAACTAAAAGATTCGAGAAAAACCAATTCTCCCCAATTGATGCCCTGGTGATCTCAACTACCTGAACTACAAAGGAATGCTCAAAGACTTGAGGGACAACATTCCAAGTTTATTATTATTAAATAATAGAACACACTTCCTTTTACCTTTTACATTTTTCCTTGGCTTAGAGGATTTCTTCTCCTTTAAACTCTGATTTTTAACAGATTTTTGTTTTCTTTTCTCTTCTTCAGCAAGAACTTTCTGAAGCAAATGAGCAAAAAAATCGAAGTCAAAAGGGCGCTTTTCCTCTGTTAAAAAAAAAAAAAAGAAAAAGAACCTTCAAATTTTTATTTTAAAAAGAGAAAGAATTTTCAAGTATCATGATGTCAAAAGCAAATGGACCTATTAGCAGGAGAATGCACAACCAACTCTAGTCACTGTAGTAGTCAAACAAAGGAAAACTGAGCAATAAAAAGGAATAAGCTGCAATAGTTTAAAAAAAAAAAAGTAAAAAGGAACTATGTACTGATGTAAGTAATACTATAGGAAAAATCTCAAAAATGCTGCCTAAAAGAAGGCAGACATAAAAGAATATATACTGTATGATGCCATGAATAAGAAGTTCTAGTACAAAGCTAAACTAACCTATGATGATTCAAATGAAAACCACGGTGGTCCTGCATCAAGACAGCCATGGAAACGGACTAGAAAGGGACACAAGGGTCCTTTCCGAAGTGATGAAAATGTTCCATACCTTGTTTTGAGTGGTGGTTATACAGGTATACTCTTTGTCACAACTCAAACTATAAACTGCACTGTAGGTAAATTATCAATCAACTTTAAGAAAAGACTAATTAGTATGACTAATTCCTCAAAAGCCTCCCCACCACCAAATGTCCTCTCTTCAACACAACCCTTTCACTATTTACTCTTCCAAGTATCAGCAAAAAAGGAAGCAAATGAGTTTTGATCAGGACCACTCTCACTAAATAGCCAATAACAACATTACATCAGAAAGAGCCATGAACAGGGTGCTTTGCAGGCTCAGTCAGCAGACTGAGTCATAGGACTCTTGATCTCAGGGTCGTGAGTTCAAGCCCCATGCTGGGTGTGGAACCTACTTTAAAAAAGAAAGAGAAAAAGAGCGAGCCATAAACAAACCAGGAATGAATCCATAACAGGAGTCAAATCCTTGCCTAATATCTACATCCAACAATACAGTGAATGTAGAAAAAATTGTGCTTTATATACAAAGCCCCAATATTGGTTTAATTGCAAGATGACTACAACATGGCCTCAGAAAAAAGAGGTATATAGGGGTGCCTGGGTGGCAGTCAGTTAAGTATCTGCCTTCAGCTCAGGTCATGATCCCAGAGTCTTGGGATTGAACGCCACAGTGGGCTCCCTGCTCAGCAAGGAGCCTGCTTCTCTCTTGCCCTCTGCTGCTCACCCATTTATGCTCATTTGCTCTCTCTGTCAAGTAGATAAAGAAAATCTTCAAGAAAAAAAAAAAAAGAAAGAAAGAAATAGTGGCATATACCATAACAAAAACAAATCAGCCTCAAAAAAACAAGCCCAAACCTGGAATTCCTGAAGGCCCTGTTTATTATGGACCCAGTCTTTCTCTGTTCTGACCACCCACAACAATGATTCTGAAAAATACACCATTAAAATCATTCTCTGAGGATGGGGCCCATGGCTGGCTCAGCTGGTAGAACATGCAACTCTTAATCTTGGAGTTGTGAGTTAAAGCCCCAAGCTGGACCTAGAAAATGCTTAAATAAATAAATTTTTTTTTAAAAATTCTCAAAGGAATTGAACATGTTATAAAAGAAAAAAAATTGAGGTTTTAATTTTTTTTAATTTTCCACTACAAAGCACCCAAATCAGTGAATTTAACAGTTTTCTATTATAATGGTTTTAACAATGCCTCTACACCCCCATAAAGACTACAGATCTATAGATTCTTTTCTTATTATAATGCACTGAATGTAATACAGTTTCAGGACTACCTCTCCAAAATGGAGAAGGCTGAGGACCAAAACAATCCAGATATTCCAGGAGTCATTCCTGGAAGTCATGTCCCTGAGGGCCCAACACAACATTGGGTGTAGAGTCCAGTCACCTGCCTTAGTGTCTACTCATAAAGTAAACACAAAGTTCTCACTTGAGGCTTTGTTCTGAGATTAGCACTCCAGCAAATGGATACTGAATACATTTATTTATCATGAAACATTGATAACTGTCTTCCAGACAAAGAATACAGGTACTACTTTATTTTTTTTAAATAGGTATTGACATTTTTTTTTTAAGATTAATTTATTTGACAGAAACACAGCAAGAGAGGGAACACAAGCAGGGGGAATAGGGGAGAGAGAAGCAGGCTTCCCACCGAGCAGGGAGCCCAATGGCAGGGCTCAACCCCCTAACCCTGGAATCATGACCTGAGCAAAAGGCAAACCCTTAACGACTGACCCACCCAAGCTCCTGGTATCAAACCTTTATTTATCTGTCTTTTAAATTTTTTTTTTTAAGTAATCTCTACACCCAACATGGGGCTCTAATTCATGATCCTGAAATCAAGAGTTGCAAGCTCTTACTGACTGAGCTAGCCAGGCGTTCCTATAGGTACTATTTTAAACAATGCATTCAAATTTGTTTTTCGGTCAGATCTCTTGATGTTTTCCTCTGGACTCAAAAAGAAAAAAATGTTCATTTCAATGAGGTTATTACTTAAAAGATAAAAAATATGTATCATTGTTTCAAATCAGGTATAAATTCACATGCCATCTTTTTAGACAAAACTTTCCTGACAACTTGATCTATACATCCACTCTTCACCCCCTCTTTTTTCTTCTTCTTAGAAATTACTCACTTTCTGCAATTAACGATGCTTACTGACTTTATCCTTTCCGCCACTCAATTAGACTTATGGCTCTAACAACAAGCTTCTCATCTGCCCTGTTCACCATTATATCCCCAATGCCTAGAATACTAACTAGCACACAGGAAGTATTCAGTATTGTTTACTGAATGACCACAAGAAAGAATCATCTATAGTGTAAGCTCTTCTAGAAATTCCTTGAATAGTTTCCTCAAAATAAAGAACATTTAGAAATGGTGTCTTCAGGGGGCACCTGGGTGGCTCAGCTAGTTGAGTATCCAACTCCTGATTTTGGCTCAGGTCTTGATCTCTGGGTTCTGGGATCGAGCCCTGTGTCAGGTGCTCAGGGGGGAGTCAGCATGAGATTCTCTCTCTCCCTCCTTCTCTGCCCCTCCCCAGCATGAGATCTCTCTATCTCAGTTCCTCTATAACTTCTGGAACTCAGAGCTCTGCTTTCTTGCTTCTTGATGTTTTCGCTTATCCCTTCCCTTCCCTACAGATCTGTTATCAGTTCCCAGACCTGCACTCCTAAAGAGAAAAATCTCCAGTCTTGTTCTTCCTATGACAATAAAGAGACAAAACAAATCTAAAACACAATGGAACTAAACACAAAAGACTGGTCATTTTTTAAGATCTCCAAGTGATATATTGTAAAAGAGATCTTTTTTTAAGATCTCCAAGTGATATATTGTAAAAGAGATATTAATACTTACGAAAGGCTTTGTCTATTCTCCATCCATTTGTTTTCTCTTCACGTTTAAATTTGTTCTGTTAATAAAAGAAAAAAAAACCTATAGTAATATTCTCCCATTAAAAAAGTGACAATTAGGGGCGCCTGGGTGGCTCAGTGGTTTAAGGCCTCTGCCTTCGGCTCAGGTCATGATCCCAGGCTCCTGGGATCGAGCCCCACATCGGGCTCTCTGCTCAGCGGGGACCCTGCTTTCTCCTCTCTCCCTCTGCCTGCCTCTCTGTCTACTTGTGATCTCTGTCTGTCAAATGAATAAATAAAATCTTTAAAAAAAAAAAAAAAGTGACAATTAGGGGCGCCTGGGTGGCTCAGTGGGTTAAGCCGCTGCCTTCGGCTTAGGTCATGATCTCAGGGTCCTGGGATCGAGTCCCGCATCAGGCTCTCTGCTCAGCAGGGAGCCTGCTTCCCTCTCTCTCTCTCTCTGCCTGCCTCTCTGTCTACTTGTGATCTCTCTCTGTCAAATAAATAAATAAAATATTAAAAAAAAAATCAGAAAAACATGAACAGAGCTTTAGTAACCTGACTAACACATATAAATGGAGTCCCAGAGAGCAAGAACAAAGTGGAAAAAATATTGAAAAGACACTATCCCTGGGCAAATCATAACCATGCTGCTGAACACCAGTTAAAGAAAAAAATCTCAAAAATAGCCACAGAAAAACAATTTATCACATACGAGGAAAGAATAACATAAATATGACTGACTCTTTGTCAGAAATACTAGAAGCCAATGGACAATGGAATGACAATTTTAGAACACTGAAAGCAAACCACCTGCATATCCAGTAAAAATATCCTGCAAAAGTAAAGCTGAAACAGAGACCTTCAGATAAATCAAAATTGAGAGAAATTTTCAACAACCGACCTGACAATTCAGACCTACAAGAAGAAATGAAAAGCATCAAAATTGGTGGCTAAATATTAAACATGGCTACAAATTAAAACTAGTTTCTCTTTTCTGCTCAACTCCCTTTAAAGATAAAAGACTGTAAGCCAAAGTAAGTTGGATAAAAATTGGGTAATGTAAAAATGAAACGCAGAATAGCACAAAAGATGAAGGATAAATAGAATATACTTTTAAGAGCTTAATTCTTGTGGAGTATGAAGTATAAAGAGTAAAATGGGGGGCACCTGGGTGGCTCAGTGGGTTAAAGCCTCTGCCTTCAGCTCAGGTCATGATCCCAGAGTCCTGGGATCGAGCCCCACATCAAGCTCTCTGCTCTGCAGGGAGCCTGCTTCCTCCTCTCTCTCCCTCTGCCTGCCTCTCTGCCTACTTGTGATCTCTGTCTGTCAAATAAATAAATAAAATCTTAAAAAAAAAAAAAAAAGTAAAATGGTACAAGAGAGAAAATAAAAAATTACACTAAATTATCTGAATAACCCAAAAGGAGGCAGCAAATGAGAACTGAAAAACAGATGGGTTAAGTGGGAAATATTGAGATGGTAGACTTAAGCCCAATCATACCAATTATTACATTACAGTAAATCAATTAATTATTACCTGGAAATGTACAACAGATATTTTGTCTTATTTTTATCAAAGGTCAAATAAGAATTCAATGAATACTTCCTCATCTCTGTCAGAAATGCAATCTATAATTAGATTAAATTAAAAGGTAGAGTGTCAGACTGGATAAATCGCTGGAGCCACTACAGAAAACAGTGTGGGTACTCCTCAAAACAACTAAAAATAAAATGGTCATATGATACAGCAATTCTACTTCTGGATCTTGACCTGAAAGGATAAAATCACTATTGTAAAAAGATAATAGTATCCTCATGTTCACTGCAGCATTATTTACAACAGCCAACACAATCCAATGACAAATGAATAAAGAAAATGTGGCGCATAGGTGTGTGTGTACAGGAATATTATTCAGCCATCAAGAAAAAATATCCTGCTATTTGCAACATCACAAATGGACATTGAAAGCATTGTGCTAAATAAAGAGAAAGACAAATGATGTATTATCAGTTCAACAACATACTAAAAATGAGTACACCAAATAAAAGAACTTCATATATATCAAAAAGTAATGGATGTAAGCACAGAAACAGGCCAACCTATCTATAATCATGGTTGCAGATGTCAATTCTCTGTTAACTGACAGAAATAAATAACACATCCAACAACTACAGAGTACACACTCATTTCAAGTGCACCAGGAATACTAAGTACGAAAGGTTTTAAAATAAACCTCATTAAATTTCAGAAAGATGGAAATTGTACAGATCATGTTATTTGACATTCACAATGGAATTAAGTTAGAAAACGATAAGACATTTAGCAATGTCCCAAATATTTGGAAATGAAACAACATAATTCTAAATAACTGACATGTAAAGTAAGAAATCACAAAGAAAACTAGACAATATTTTTAACTGAACAATGGAAACAACCTATCAAAACTTATGAAATGCAACTAAAGCAGTGCTCAGATGAAAATGTATAGATTTAAATGTCTAATTAGGAAAGAAAAAGAGCTTATAATCAATCTAACTTTTTTCTTTTTTAAGATTTTATTTATTTGACAGAGAGAGAGAGACAGCAAGAAAGGGAACACAAGTAGGGGGAGAGGGAGAAGGAGAATCAGGCTTCTCACTGAGCAGGGAGCCGGACACGGGCTCGGATCCCAAGACCCTGGGATCATGACCAGAGCCAAAGGCAGACGCTTAACGAATGAGCCACCCAGGTGCCCTTAATTCATCTTAAGAAGCTAGAAAAAGAGAAAATTAAAGGCAGAGTGAACAGAAGAAAGGAAATATTAAAGAGTTAAAAAATAAGAATACACAAACAATTGAAAACTTACAGCTACAAGTTGGTTCATTAAAAAGATTTTTGGAAGTCAAAATACCCTTAGCAAGACAAAGGTAAAAAAAAGAGAGAGAAAAGGAAAACAATTATTGATCAAAGAGGACTATCCACCGCACATTAAAAATTTCAGTAAACAGTATGAAAACTTCACACCTATAAATTCAAAAGCTTAGCATCAAAACTGACACAAGACAAAACTGAAAATTGAGTATACCTATAGGTATTAAAGAAATTGAATTTATAATCAAAACTCTTCCTGCAAAGAAAATTACAGGCCCAGATGGTTTCACTGTTGAATTCTATCAACCATTAAAGGGGAAACACCACTAATCTTAAATCCGTTCAAAGAAGGAGCACTTTCCAACTCATTTTCTATGACCAGCATAATCCTAGTACCAAAACATTTTGGACAAAGACTTTTAAAAAATTGCAAAATTTTGGACAAAGACTTTTAAAAAGTTGCAAAATATCCCTCGTGAACAAAAATGAAAAAAAAATTAAAAAATAAAAAAAAACCCTCAAGGAAATACAGTAAAATTCAACATACAAAAAGATAATACAAGTTTGGTTTAACACTTGAAAATCAATATAACTGACTAGTCCATTTTCACTTTTCTATACTTTGCCCAAAGACCTGTTGGGACTATACTAAACTTAGGGGAGAAATCTGAATAATTTATGAGAGAAATAGTCTAGTGACAAATTTATCAGTCAGATTAGAAAGTTCCCCTAGACAATTTCTAGCTTTAACATTTTGTTCTTTACAAAGATCATTAGAAAAGGAACATAAATAATATGAACAATTCTTCACTTTTGCAGAAACAGAATAACCATTACACTGTACATAGTCCACATGCGAAGGATCCATGCCCAGCCTAGTTCAAAAAAAAAACTTTCCTAATATTCTTTTAATTAATGAAGGAAAAAACCCATGGTTGAATAAAGATCTCACTATAAATTGGAAATGCATTACAGCAACATAGTGCACTCAAATGCACTCTATCCCAGGAAACCTATAATTTTCTCACAAAAAGAACAATAAAACAGAGAATGCTTATTCTTTCAGGCATATTAAAGCACTAATTTACGCCACTGTTGTTAATAGTGTCCCTGACTGTCCACAAAGCTAAGGTAGCCTAGGAAAACAATGGTAAATTCAGATTGAGAATTATTTAACTTAAAATGTTTCTCTCCATGCCGTCCAAGGAATTCAGAAACACATTGTGTTCAGAAGCTAACCCAAATATTCTGGTATATTTATCCTCCCTCCTCATTACTTAGCTCTTCTTTTATCTTAATTTCTTTGGTTTTATTGGTACTCCCTCAAATCCATTTCTGAAGTGGGCAACACCTAAATAAGATAATACGCTAAAACTAAGGAGGATGTACTCATATTAGAATTGAGAAACATTTCATTACTTTCTGAGCTATAAAGGGGAAAGTTCTACCCAAAACACTGTAGTGAACAAGGATGGACTGAGATTTAAATAAAGTTTAAAAAAATAGTATTAGTAATTTTTGGTCCTTTCCAATCAGTGAATGTAATGAGTTTACTTTACCTTAATTTCTATCCTTGCTCTGTGAGGAAAAAGCTGTCCGATCATAGAAAAGTCAGTTCCTACCATGCTGATGGCTAAAAAAAACATATCTGTTTCTGTAAAAATAAAAGATTTAGAAAGAATAAAAATTAATATCAGTATGTCAGAGGAAAAAAAATCTTAGCTTAAGTATATATCTTGAGTTAAAAATAAATTTGAGAGTACTTAAATATTATTCAAGAAATCTTTAGTCAATTTTATTGCAAAAAACTTCATGAATCTCAAATATCTCTAAACTTTTATACAGAAACATGATAAAAGAAATTTGCATGTTCATAACCAAGCAGCTGGAATAAAAAAAAAAAAAAAGACAACGACAACATTCTGGTCTCCAAGTGACCAAAACTGTCCGTCACAGCCAATAAATTACCGCTTTAATGGAAGCAAATGAGATGTGCTAATTAGTATATGAAAGAAAGTAGCTAAAAAAAACACAGAAGAAACTACTAATAGAAGTAACCTCAACAGAATAGGATTGGGGAAGTCAGAGGAGAGAAGTATAGAATCTTTCTTGTTGCCCTGTATCAGTCTGTTATGTTTGATTTTTTTCCCAAAACAACCTGCATTATTTTTATAAGAATAAGCAATATCATTCAATAGGTATTACGTGCTTTTTTAACAGCCTAATTTTTACAAACTTTATTATACAACAAGGTATATTTATTATACAAGGTATAACATTATTATGAGTATTAAAAATACTAATTAATTTTCCATAAAAATGTTATTTTTTATACAGGGATTTGACAGGAAAATTCCAGCCCAAATGACCATAATGCTAACTCCTAAAATACTAAGATAAAGCCAGAAATACAGTTCTACAATATTGGGAGAGGGAGCCCCACTGGAAGGTGCCAATAAAAGTAGCTAAAGAGAAAATAATAGTTTGTGTTTTATTTACTTACAGAAAATAATTCACTTTATTTCAAATAAATAACCTATACAATTTAAAATGAAAATTAGTGGGGTGCCTGGGTGGCTCAGTGGGTTAAGCCTCTGCCTTCAGCCCAGGTCATGATCTTAGGGTCCTGGGATAGAGCCCCGCGTCGGGCTCTCTGCTCAGTAGAGACCCCACTTCCCCCTCTCTCTGCCTGCCTCTCTGCCTACTTGTGATCTCTCTCTCAAATAAATAAATAAAATCTTTTTAAATAAATTAATTAAATTAAATAAAATGAAAATTAGTTACCTTTATTTGACCATGGTTTAGAATAATAGCTTTTCCTAAAGCTGGAATATGTAGTTGTAGAACCACGTTCAAATATGGGATCATTTTCCTCAACCACACAGGGGCCCTTTGTCCTTAAAACTTCTACAGTTAAACTGAAAAAGACACATTTTTAAATAGATCTGCACTAAAAGCAAAAAAAAAGAAAATAAATGATATCTGAATAGTTACCTTTTGAAACCATGGCAGAATCATATCAAAAAAGTATAATTATGAGATATGGATATTTTCTAAGAATCTACTAATTTTCACTTGAAATGTGATTGCCAAGGAATAAATATAAATGCTAACTAACATTTTTCCAAAATCCTTATCAGCAATATAAAATTTACACATTATCTTTGAGCCACCAAAAAATTATTTGTTTTATTAACTTCTGAATGTCTCCTATATTTAATATACATTTTCTTATACTAGACCCATCAGAAAATATCAAGAAATATAAGTATTTGATATTAATGTTCTATGTTCCTATACACAAAGCAGTTAAATGCTTTTAACTATTTAATGGCCAGTAAAATCATTATCACAATATAAAACACACAAAAACAATTACTAATAGTATTGCATTAATGTTCAATTATCATAGAATTTTATATGCTATAAAAAGACTTTTTAACTAACTAAACTGTTGGAAGACTATCTATCACCCTTTTCCTATTTACTTACTACCTATGAATTTATCGTCTTTTTAAAAAAACATACTTTGGACAAACAACAAATTCCACAATGTCAAATTTGAAAAATTTAATGTTATAATTGAAAAATTAAACTACAAGGTGAATTAAACATTGTCAAAACAGAAATCATAGAATATTAAACCTATGAATTGTTCCATTTTCATTACTTATCAGACAATAAAACATGGTATTAGTTAATACAAAAACCTGAATTTTGACTTCAAGACAATTTTTGAAATCTATCATCAGTAGAGGCCAGCATATGATTAGTTCAGTAGCTCATCCCAATTACCAGTAAAGACAGTAAACAATGGATGGTAGGTTAATGGATGACAGATCAAGAGTACTATCTTCTCATATAAAACATAGCATAAAAATTCCTAAAAATTATAAATGAATCTAACTCACTTTTCCATTTACAACATCCATTACAAAAATAAAAAAATCAGTGTCTAAGTGACAATGACTGATGCGGAAACACTCTCTCTCATTAAACAAAGCACATTTGTTCTCAGGTTTGAAACCACAGTCTTTTTTGTTTTTTAAACTTACCTTTCTTCATCCAAAATAATGGAACCATCTTCTGCCACTTTTACTCGAGGAACCAGCAATGGCCCATCATCCACCTCTTCTTCTAGTTCTTCATTATCTGCAGTATCAGGAGTACTCTTACCTTCTTGCCTACCAAATGGAAAGATAGGATAATTCATATATCCATGAGAAGTATTTTCTGAATACTATGAACTTGTGAAATAAATTACTTCAAATTCTACCTTCTATTTCCAACTTTCCCGATGACCTAAATGAAAAAATTCATGTTAAGGACAGGGCTATAAGATTTTTCTAATTCTATCCAGTAGCATTTAATAAAAAGCCTTTACTCACTTTTGAAAATAAAGAAAAAAACTCTCATCTTCTCTGTCTCAACAGAGTATTAGATAAACCAAACAGATACTGGGGAATTAACACAAACAAACACACACACACACACACACACACCCTTACAGTTATAAAGCATTAGTTTGCAGATCATTCTATTAACTCTTCATAACAATCCTTGGGGATTAGTATTTTCTCTTCTTTTAAGATTTTTTAAAATTTATTTGAGAGAGAAAGTGAGCGAAAGAGCACGAGAGAAAGGGAGGGAGAGGGAGAAGCAAGCTCTCCACTGAGCAGGGAGCCCAACGTGGGGCTTGAAACCAGGACACCAGGATCATGACCTGAGCTGAACGCAGATACTTAACCAACTGAGCCACCCAGGTGCCCCACGTATTAGTATTTTCAAACCCATTTGAGGTTTGTAGTAGATAAATAATCTTTGCTTTAGATTTCACAACAATAAAGGCAGACCAAGAAGCTAAACACAGTTTCCCAAATAATAATTCTGAATACCATATACCTTACATTCAACTACATGGTCTCCTTAAGGTTTTATAGAAGCAAACATAACCCAAAAATCTATAAAAATATAGCTTATTATAAAGTCTAAGACTTCTGCTTTAAAACGATATAAATTCTAAGCAAAACAACAATCATTACTTAATAACCTTTGAAATAACAACCAGAAAATCCCAATGTTTCTGGCAATTTTCCATAATCCCCCCATCCTGAATTTCAAAACTACATTAACTTCCCAGGAAGCCTCTTGGAGACATTTCCTAGTAGTAAGGGAACATTACAGTGCAGCGTAGAAGGCAACAAGAAGCTTGTACAAAAAAACAGACTCTCTACTGGCATCAAAACTATAAAAAGAAAGGAAAGAGGGGTGCCTGGGTGGCTCAGTGGGTTAAGCCTCTGCCTTCGGCTCAGGTCATGATCTCAGGGTCCTGGGATCAAGCCCCACATCGGGCTCTCTGCTCAACGAGGAGCCTGCTTTCCCCTCTCTCTCTCTGCCTGCCTCTCTGCCTACTTGTGATCTCTGTCTCTCGGTCAAATAAATAAATAAAATCTTTAAAAAAAAAAAAAAAGAAAGAAAGAAAGGAAAGAAAAGGAAAAAGAAAAATATATACATGCTTGTTTGGAGAGACACAGAATGGAACTAGAAAGATACATTAAAAAAACAGTAACATTTGTTGCCTCCACAGAAGAACAAGAAGACAGTAAAACAGATTTGGAAGACATTTCTCGGTATACTTTTGTTCCCTGTGGTTTTTGTACAACTGTATTATATCACTATTCTAAAACAAAACAAAATCCTTTTTAATTCTGAAAGCTTTAACGGAAATCATACCACTGACCATTTCCATATATATAATACACAAACAGTGTAGACCTTTCATTTTGATATAAATCAATCATTAACTTTTATTTTTGTTATTCTACTTAAACATTCCTATCCCATGTGACTTGACTATAACAAAAAGCAATATTTGATTTCATTTTTTAAAAACTCTACCCCCCAAAGAATTTATTAAAAAAAAAAAAAAGTAAGATAAATGCTTACTCTCTTGTCTGGACTGGTGTCAAAGATTTTTCAGTTTTCTTTTCTTGTTCCAGGGAAGAACTAACAAATAAATAACATTTGTTTTTAAATATGTAAAAAGATTTAATACTTAATATAAAAAATACTTTTTAGGTAATTCACACATCATGTCTATTCTCTCCATCACCAAGAAAGAAATTATTTTAACTTGTTTTTTTAATAATACACCATAGCATCATTATTAATGACAGTGTGTGGTCCAAGAGTCAATTTCTCAGTCAAAAACTTTTGTCATCAAGTATAAATAATCTGATGATTCACAGACCTGTACCCCTGAAGCAAGTAATACATTATATGTTAACAAAAAAACAAAACAAAAAAAAAGATAAATAATTTGCTACACTCTAAGTAGGGAATGTTTTTACTCTCTAATTCCTTAGCAAACGGAGGCTCTCTTAGTCCTGATACCTAAAGCAACTTAGCCGTGGCTTTTCTCCCAACCCTTAGATGTCAAATAATGCAAAACCTAGGTTTTCGGCCCTTCCTTCACTAGGCCAAAGACCTGCTGAACCTGAAAAAGGCTATACTGAAAACATGGCACTATTCCTACATCCACCTGCTAAACCATGAAGAACATACACTGAAATTTATTATAAACCATCTGCTTCTCCAGGCTAACTTGATTAAAGAAGCTTTGTTCTTGGAGAACTTGTTAATCAAATGCCACTATATTTAATTAGGAGGTAGGGCATAAAAATTAGACCATTCCTTTAGATTCAGGTTATAGTGTACAGAAATAGAATCCGTAATATCAATTAGAGAAAAACTGCTTAGTTGGTTTTACAACAACTTAGTAATATAGGAAAAGAAACTTACTTTTTAATCTCAGAAGTAAAGGATACCATCCCAAGAAAGCAGTTACCTGAAATACCACTAAGTTTTGTTAAAAAATTCTCTCTAAAAGAACATCATATATGCTATAAATTTTATCAACATGCTTTTGGAAAACACTGAAACTCTTCTCTAAAAGTGATACTTAAATCACTATACACTCTAAGAAAGGAAAACAAGTAAAGTTTACTTACGTCATTGGATTATTATCTGGCAGGTAATATATGAAATCTCTCATAGTCATTTTTGAACGATCTGGTGGCTTCTGACTTTCATTTATGGCATATTTGTTTTTCCATTGCTTCTATTACACGCAAACACATACAAAGATCCACTTTTATTTTACAAATACAGAAGAATTTCACATGTACTATACTCCAAGGTATAGCTCACTGCTGCATTCATTCCAAGTGATTTAATATTATTCCTACCACAATTATTCCTAATTTAAGGAAAAATTTCTTAAAGTGAGTATTAAAAAGTTGTAGAGAGCATCAAGGAACCTTAAAAACAAAAGTGTCCAGGACTGGACAAAAGCTCAATGTATAAATCATAAAAATGTCTTCTAACTATAGGAGTTTACTAAGAATTTATAAACATACAGCTTTTTTTTTTTTACAATGCAGTGAATTGGATTTCTATGAATTTCATAAAATTCTTGAAGCAAATGTTTAATTTTTTAATTCCCCAGAAGAAATCTACCAAAGCAGATTCAATAAACACTGAACATCTGGAAAGACGTCAATTTTAGAGGAACAGATTCAAATCCCACTGGTGTTTGACACAAAGCAAGTAACATCTATGAGCCTATTTCCATCTGTGTAAAACAGTGATGTCTACTTCACAAATGTAATAGAATTAAATAACAAATATAAAGCACGATGTTAAGTGCCTTCCTCTTAATTAAAAAGGGCATTCTGGGCTAAAATTAATAAGTCAGGAAATGACAGATGTTCACGAGGATGCAGAGAGAGGAGAATCCTCCTACCCTGTTGGTGGGAATGCAAGCTGCTGCAGCCACTCTGGAACACAGTATGGAAGTTCCTCAAAAAGTTGAAAATAGGGGCTCCTGGGTGGCTCAGTGGGTTAAGCCTCTGCCTTCGGCTCGGTCATGGTCTCGGGGTCCTGGGATCAAGCCCCTCATTGGGCTCTCTGCTCAGCAGGGAGCCTGCTTCCCCCTCTCTCTCTGCCTGCCTCTCTGCCTGCTTGTGATCTCTCTCTCTGTCAAATAAATAAATAAAATCTTAAAAAAAAAAAAAAAAAAAAGTTGAAAATAGAGCTACCCTACAACCCAGCAATCGCACTACTGGGTATTTAACCTGAAGATACAAATGTAGTGATCCAAAGGGGCATGTGTACCCAAATGTTTATAGCAGCAATGTCCACAATAGCCGAACTATGGAAAGAGCCTAGATGTCCATCAACAGATGAAGAGATAAAGATGTGGTATGTATACACACACACACACACACACACACACACACACACACACACCATGGAATAATACTATGCAGCCATCAAAAAGGAAACAAAATCCTGCCATTTGTAATGACGTAGATCGAACTAGAGGGTATTATCCTAAGCGAAAAAAGTCAATCAGAGGGGTGCCAGGGTGGCTCAGTGGGTTAAAGCCTCTGCCTTTGGCTCGGGTCATGATCCCAGGGTCCTGGGATTGAGCCCTGAATCAGGCTCTCTTCTCAGCAGGGAGCCTGCTTCCCCCTCTCTCTCTCTCTGCCTGCCTCTCTACTTGTGATTTCTCTCTCTCTGTCAAAAAATAAATAAAATCTTTAAAAAAAAAAAAGTCAATCAGAAAAAGACAACTATCATATGGTATCTCTGATATAAGGAATTTGAGAGGTAGGGCAGGGAGTCATTGAGGGTAGGAAAAAATGAAACAAGATGGGACCGGGAAGGACACAAACCATAAGAGACTCTTAATCTCAGGAAACAAACTGAAGGTTGCTGGGGTATTGGGGAGGAAGGATAGGGTGGCTGGGTTATGGACATTGATGAGGGTATGTGCTATCATGAGTGCTGTGAAATGTGTAAGCCTGATGATTCACAGACCTATACCCCTGAAGCAAGTAATACATTGTGTGTTAATAAAAAATTTAAAAATTTTATAAATAAATAAATAAATAAAAAGGGCACTCTGTATTTAAGAATAAGAGTTAACATGTTTTGGGCTCTTACTATCCGCAGAAAGTAGTCTAAATGTGTTTTACATGTATAAGCTCATCTAATCTTTACAACCTCCAATGAGATACATACTATCATCAGTCTTATTTTACAGATGAGGACACGGAAAAATTAATTAAACTTTGCGAGGTCACATAGTAAGGAATGACTCTAAGATTCAAATCTTAAGTATCTAACTGCAGATTTATATGTTTCCCTATTGGTACAGTGCCCTTTTCAAAAAATAATCTATCTTTAAGATTAAAAGATGGGCTTTAAAAAAAAAAAAAAAAAAGGAAAGAAGATGGACTCTACGCATACGTGCAAATTTTTCCCATTTATAATTTCCATACTGTCAACTTAGAAAATATTACCAATTCATTTTGCTCAAGTATATTTGTCTTAATTAAAACAAATAGAACTCATGTCACTTGAACATCATGAAAAACCAGACTGAAGATTTATTTTATAAATATACTTGGTATATTTTTCTATGTATGTACATGTACAGAACTTCTATTTGTGGCCTTCACCAAAAACAATGAAAGATATAGATGAATATATAAAAATTAACATAGTGGGAAAAAAATTTATTAAGTCCATTGTGCTTATTAATCAATCAGTTAACAAAAGGGATATTGACTGATGAATTACAGACCTGTACCCCTGAAACAAGTAATACATTATATGTTAATAATAAAAACAAAAACAGAAGGGATATTAATTGATTATGCTCCATTAAATGCTATAGAAATTTTTACTCCAAATGATGCCTAACAGAAAAACAGAATTCTAGCAGGGACCAGTCAAAATGTGATTTTTGTCTCCCTTACCTTCTCTTTCTTCAATTCTTCTTTTAACATTTCTCTTAGTTTCTGGGCTTTATATAATCGGTATCTGTCTGAACATGGCTGTTTCTCTTTTGTTGAAACAGGGTTCGGCTGTGCAACTTCTTGATTAACTGTAGATAAGGGATGAGATTCTGAAGGAACAGTGACACCAGGCTTAACCAGAGTAGGAGTACTTGATATTCTCTTTCTTCTCTGTGAAACAGTAGAGGAAGATTTACTGGATTCTTCAACATAATTCTCACTGTCAGTCTTTTCATCACTGTTGAAATTTTTAAAAAAGAAAAAAAAAAAGAGTACCATGGATCTTTTATATTCTAGTTTCAAAAAACTAGCCTGGTGAAAATCTAAAACAATAGAACCTCATTATTAAAAAACTCAGTGACTTGAGACATACAGTAATCACGACACCAACTGCAATAAAAATTTTATTTAGTAAATGTTTTTAATAGATATATTAATTCTAAAAAGACTGCTGATCTTTTTCAAACTTCAAATCCCGTAGGACAATAGAACATATTAATGCTCACGCTAACTCTTTCAAGGAAAACAAAAGGCCAAGTTAAAAATTAAAGTTTAGGGACGCCTGGGTGGCTCAGTTGGGTAAGCGGCTGCCTTCGGCTCAGGTCATGATCCCAGCGTCCTGGGATCGAGTCCCACATCGGGCTCCTTGCTCAGCGGGGAGCCTGCTTCTCCCTCTGCCTCTGCCTACCACTCTGTCTGCCTGTGCTCATGCTCTCTCTCTCTTTCTCTAACAAATAAATAAATAAAATCTTTAAAAAAAAAATTAAAGTTTAATTACCCTATTTTGAACCACTAGATAACTGACAAATGTTTTTCTTTATAATCTATACTAACATCCTCCTGAATTGATCTAAATTACTGAAATTTTACACTATCAACCTAAGATCAGCCAAACCAAACATACAAAACTTCAAACTTCTAAAATATCTCTACTGCAGTACTTGAGAATATTCATTTAGCTTCATTAATCAAATCAAATATTATATGGAGAAGAAATCATTTATCTTTTGTTGGGTAACTAGTTACACAGCTATCAAACTCCTTACTCAAAGAAAGTACTCAGTCATTCCAAATTACATAGTAGGTATATAGCTCAGATTGGATATACATATTTCACGAATGGCCTAAAAGGAAATTAAGTCAAAAAGATAGAGGGGTTAGGGGCACCTGCGTGGCTCAGCGGGTTAAAGCCTCTGCCTTCGGCTCAGATCATGATCTCAGGGTCCTGGGATCGAGCCCCCCATCAGGCTCTCTGCTCGGCAGGGAGCCTGCTTCCCCCTGCCCTCTCTGTCTGCCTCTCTGCCTACTTGCGATCTCTGTCAAATAAATAAATAAAATCTTAAAAAAAAAAAAAAAAAGATAGAGGGTTTAAAATTAAAAGCAGCTGAGGCATCTGGGTGGTTCAGCAGCTTAAGTTTCTGCCTTGGGCTCAGGTCATGATCCCAGTCCCAAATCAAGTTCCCTGCTCAGCAGGGAGTCTGCTTCTCCCTCTCCCTCCTTGTGCTCTGTGTGTGTGTGTCTCTCTCTCTCTCTCTGTGGAATAAATAAATAAATAAAATCTTAAAAAAAAAAAAAAAAAGGAATTAAAAGTAGTCCACACTTGCAGCACCTGTGTGGCTCAGTCAGTAAAGAGTCTGCCTTCCTCTCAGGTCATGATCCCCAGGTCTGGGATCAAGCCCCATGTCGGGCTAGCTGCTCAGTGGGGAGTCTGCTTCTCCCCTCTCCCTCCTCCTCTCCTCCCGCTTGTGTGCACTCTCTCTCTCAAATAAATAAATAAAACCTTCAAAAGGAAAAAAAAAAGTAGTCCACACTTTCATGTTACGATTAGTTTTATATAAAAGTGGGAAACAGGGATGCCTGCATGGCTCAGTAGGTTAAGCATCTGCCTTGGGCTCAGGTCATGATCCCAGGGTCCTGGGATAGAGTCCCGAATCCCGCTCTTTGCTCAGCGGGGAGCCTGCCTTTCCCTCTGCCTGCTGCTCCCCCTATTTGTGCGCGTTCTCTCTCTCTGACAAATAAATATATAAACTCTTAAATATAAATAAATACAAGTGGAAAACGCCTAAACCTACAGAATAATCGTCCCAAGAAATCTTTTTTTTTTAATTTTTTTTCTTAAGGTTTATTTATTTATTTGACAGAGAGAGATCACAAGCAGGCAGAGAGACAGGCGGAGAGAGAGGAAGGGAAGCAGGCTCCCCGCTGAGCAGAGAGCCCGATGCGGGGCTCGATCCCAGGACCCTGGGATCATGACCTGAGCTGAAGGCAGAGGCTTTAACCCACTGAGCCACCCAAGCGCCCCAAGAAATCTCCATTTTTTTGAAGTTTTCTTTTTTTTTTTAATAATCTCTACACTCAACATAGGGCCCAAACTTACAGCCCCAAGATTAAGAGTCGCATGCTCTTCTGAGTAAGTTAGCCAGGTACCCAAAAATTGTCCAATTTAAATTCATATCTCAGCCTTCATAACGTGATACACGCACCATGTACATTTCACCCAATTATGCTGAAACCACAAGGACAAAACATACATCCTATGTTTTTACCACGTATTTTTACAACTGCAAAGATCCACCAAAAAAAAGGTAAAAAAACAAATATACTCCCCATATGCCAACTCCAAGAAACCAAATATCCTCAACCTCAAATGTCTCAAAGACTACAGAACCTGAGTAATTTATTAAATTATCAAACCTCACGCACTTATATGTAATTAACAGGATCTCTTCAAACTTCATTAACAGTGACTAATATTTGTATTTCCTTTTTTAGAGAAATTTTGAAAAAGTATTCATACAAAAAACTTGTAAGCTACTAAGCATCACTAATCTGGCAAAATAACACCTTATACCCAGAACCAGTACAGGCCAAAAGTTTGGCCAAAAAGAAAGGGAGTAAAATTTCCACCTTCCTGTCAGAGCATACAGAGAATTTATACCATCTCATTGTCATTTAATAGGATCAGGTTTTATTGCTTTCCTCACATTCACATTACAGAAACAGGGGCTATTAGCAGCCCAACATGTCTTAACTTTAATTACTTTCTTATTTACTACCATCGCATTTATTTTTTTTCATCGCATTTATTTTAAACAAATAACTTTTTGTAGGCAACTATTCTGCCATGTCCTATGCAAGACAGTTTATGTCAGTTTTTTCTAAACTCCATAATAACTCTCCAAAGTACGTAGTATTATCTCCATTTTAGAGTAAGTAAATTCTGCCTGGCCAAGTCTGACAAATTGTTAAATTAAGAAAAAAATCCTAAATCCAAATGTGGCACTGGCACATGCTTTTTCCCTTCAGAAAACATGACCACTATAAAAGGGCACGCCCTCAAAGCAAAGCAAGTAACCACATCTCCTTTCCACTGACACAAATTAGCAGAACCAAAGTAACATTGGTCTTTTAGGAGTAATGTTTTTAAAATTTTAAAAACTACTTAACCTCTTCAATGTACTCTGGAAGAATAAAAACTACGGTAAAGTAATCTAAGCTAATGAACATTACCACGTGTGGATACTTTTCACTTCAAAACTGTTACATGTGGATTCTTCCCACCACCTCTTGAAGACATGGTCCTCACCCCGGGAATCTACCAACCTTAACAAAATCCACATTTGCCACACCTTGTGGACAGAACGACAAACTGCAGTTGGGAGTAGGTTCATAGGGCCTCAACTCTAAGGCTTAATGCAGGCGACGGAAGACTCCTACGGTAAATTCATCTGGTCAGCTTCCAGGTGACAGCCCCATAGAGGTGGAGCAGAGGAAAATGCTCCCCACCGCATGCACTTACCTGCTCCTGGGAGCCTTTTCTTGGGGTTCAGATCCCCCGCAATCCCTCGGGGGCACATCTGTAGACTCCGCTGGCTTCGGGGAGGAGGCCGCTGCAGGATCCTGGGGCCTGGGTGCCTCTTGTCCACGCTGGGGGTTGGGGGCGGTGGAACCCCTGGCGCCTACACCAGGCCTGACATTCGGCTTCACGCTAAGGCGTGCCCTGCGGAACATGGCGGAGCCAGGGGGCCCGGGGAGGCGGCCCCAAGGCCGCTCTCAGCCCCGAGCCCCGGCCGCTGCCCGGGAAGGGATTAAGAACTACGCCCTTTCCACACAGCCACGCCACCAGGCCAGCGGGCAGCTACCGCAGTTTCTCACCCCCGCCGCCTCCTCCTTCCTCCCGCCGCCGCCTCTTCTTCATGACCCTGCTACACTAATAGCTAAGTTTCCCCCAGTACCTTGCTTCCCCGCCCTCATAGGGCGCCGGAACTGATTACGCCATCAGCCAGCGCCGCGGAAGAACGTAAGACGCACAGCTCCCGGAGCCATGGTAACTGTCAAACTATAGAGTCTCTTGTGAACCGGAAATTGGGATGCACGGTGAACCTCTCTCACCTCATCAGGAATCCTTAGGTGTTACTGAAAGGAGGGGAAGGAGGTAGTCAAGCCCCTCAGCCCAAACCTTTCGGAGACTATGAAAATCATGGGGCGCCTGACTGGCTCAAACAGAAAAAGTGTGGGACTCTCGTGCAAGCCCCACATTGGGGGTAGAGATTACTAAAAACAATTAAAAAAACTTTTTTTAGGGGCGCCTGGGTGGCTCAGTGGGTTAAAGCCTCTGCCTTCAGCTCAGGTCATGATCTCAGGGTCCTGGGATCCAGCCCCTCATCGGTCTGTCTGCTCCGCGAGGAGCCTGCTTTCCCCCTTTCTCTCCGCTTGCCTCTCTGCCTACTTGTGATATATCTCTATCAAATAAATAAATAAAATCTTAAAAAAAAAAACTTGTAAAAAAAAGGTGTTGTATAGTAGTGCCTGTTCACCAGCACACCCCAGAACTTAGAAATTCTAAATTGAGTAGAACATAAATTACAAATTCAGGTATGAAGAAACTGGTAAATTACTTCCTAGAAGGGGAGCTAGATTTCTGGACCATGTTGTGGGAGAAAGACCATTCACTGTATACTTTTGTGTACTTTTTAATATATCTGTTCAAAAATTATTATAGTTAAAACTATATAGTTAGAGTAAATTAGCATAAGTATTCCTAATCTGCTTCAGGAGATAGAAATAGAGCAATAAACAAGACACTCTGTGTTGGGGAGAAAAAAAAATACAACAAAAGAACAAGATAATTTAAGAATTTATTAAATGCTATGAAACAAATTTAAAGGGTACTATGACAGGGACACCTGGGTGGCTCAGTCGCTTAAGCACCTGCCTTCCTGGTGGGTCATGATCTCAGGATCCTGGGATAGAGCCCCGCATCAAGCTCCCTGCTTAGCAGGGAGCCTGTCGATCCCCCTACTTGTGCTATCTCTCTCTGTCAAACAAATAAATAAAATCTTTAAATAAGTGTACTATGACAGAGATAAATGGAAGCCTGGCTTATTTTAGGTAGCATGGTTAGGCTTCTAGAATGTCAGGAAAAATGGCCATAGATGAGGTTGGCCTTACACACTATGAGCCAGTTTTTGAACTTGCAGTATAAATTCTCTGACTCGTTGCAACAGAGAGGCCAGACGTCCTTCGTGGAAGGACAAGATTTAACAAAAAATCCTGCTACATTAATAACAAAGTGTCAAAGGAATTAAATCCTTTATTAATTAACCCTTGCTATGTCATCAAGAAGGAGAAAGAAAGGCAAGTGTTTTTGAGAGTAAGATAACAAGGATGGAAAGCACAGAAGAGAGAAGAGATTCCTTTCAGACGGGAAAGAAACTGGAGGTCTGTAGATTCTGTGGGCTCCCTCCAGGACCCCGGGGGAGCGAACAAGGCATCAGATACACCTAGAGAAACTCCAGAACTTAACAAAGAAACCCCTACTAAAGATGTTTCAGGAATGTTGGAGCCACTACCAGGAGCACAGGGCTTTGCACAATATATTCTGGTACAAGGGCGCATTGCCTTTCCCCAAATGTTCTGTTCCACCTCAGAATCTAGGGCATTCCCACAATTCTGTACGTAAGGCAGTCAATAATGACAATGATTTAATTTCTCACTAGTATAAAGATGGGAACAAAGTCAGATTTAATTTTGTTATTAAAGGGCGCCTGGGTGGCTCAGTGGGTTAAGCCTCTGTCTACAGCTCAGGTCATGATCTCAGGGTCCTGAGATCGAGTCCCGCATCGGGCTCTCTGCTCAGCAGGGAGCCTGCTTCCTCCTCTCTCTCTCTCTGCCCGCCTCTCTGCCTACTTGTGATCTCTCTCTGTCAAATAAATAAATAAAATCTTTAAAAAAAAATTTTGTTATTAAATATAAAGTCAAGCACACCTGGATGGTGCCATTGTTTAAGCTTCTGACTCTTGATTTCAGCTCTGGTCATGATTCCCAGGGCCTGAAATTGAGCCCCAGTGGGGGCTCTGCACTCAGCTTGGAGTCTTACTTGTCCCCCTCCTCTGTTCCTCCTTCAGCAAGCTCACTCTCTACCCACCACCTCTCTCTTTCAAATAAATAAATAAATAAAATCTTTAAATAAGTGGGCGCCTGGGTGGCTCAGTTGGTTAAGCGACTGCCTTCAGCTCAGGTGATGATCCCAGGGTCCTGGGATGGAATCCCATATCGGGCTCCCTGCTCAGCAGGGAGCCTGCTTCTCCCTCTGTCTCTGCCTCTCTGTCTCTCATGAATGGATAAATAAAATATTTTTTTAAATAAAATAAAAAATAAAAATAAATAAGTAAATATTAAGTCCTAAGATATTTGTTACAGAACCAAGTTTGTGGAGTAAATTCATAATGGCAGCACAGTAATTTCAAAAGTATTCAGTTTTCTCTGGCAGATACACCCAGCATTTCTTGTGTACATCATTATGTATCCCTACAACTCACAAAGTATATTTGCAGCCACAAAGAAAAAGCTCAATTAAACTGTAAATTAGGACTACATACAGAAACAACTCTACCACTTACCTTCCAATCCCAAACTGCTTCGTTTCCTTCTTTATGAGCCCGGCCAGAAAGTCAATCTTTTCCCCCTACTCCTTACTCCAGAAGAAGTTGCTTAAATGGAATCAGACACCTGGCCCATAAGCACTGTTGAAGAGAGGTGGGGCTTAAGAAGTGTGACAAGTACACAAGGCCCTCTGAGTTTAGAAGAATGACAACAATAGCTAATTTATTGAGGGCTACCATATATTGAGCACTTACATTAATTAAGTTAATTAATTCAGTTAGTATTAATTCAGTTAATTAAGGAGGAACATCTGCCTTCCCATTTTACTGGCAAGGAAGCTTTACTGCAATGAAGTAACATGCCCAAGTTCACATATCTATTCCATGGTAGAGCTGGGCTTTCAACCAAGACATTCCGGTGCTCTAAGGCTTCACCACTTTCTCCTACCTTCTCTAAAATAGGTGATTCTTCAGAGTTAAAATAAATATTATTGAATCTTGGTCATATATACTTGAGAGTGCATTGTAGTATTTTCTATGCTTTTGTATATGTTTGAAATTTTCCAAAATAAAATTCTTCTAGAAACAGGGCAATTGAGGCACCTGGGTGGCTCATAGGGTTAAAGCCTCTGCCTTAGGCTCAGGTCATGATCCCAGGGTCCTGGGATTGAGCCCCACATCAGGCTCTCTCCTTGGTGGGGAGCCTGCTTCCTCCTCTCTCTCTCTGCCTGCCTCTCTGCCTACTTGTGATCTCTCTCTGTCGAATAAATAAATAAAATCTTTAAAAAAAAAAAAAAAGAAAGAAAGGGCAATTTAGGGGAGCACATAGGTGGCTCAGTAGGTTAAGCAGCCAAACCTTGGTTTGGGCTCAGGTCATGATCTCAGGGTGCTGGGATGGAGCCCCACAACTGGCTTCCCGCTCAGAGGGGAAGCTGCCTCTCTCCTCCCCCTTCTCCCTCCTCTTGTGCTGTCTATTCCTCTCTGTCTCTCAAATAAATCTTCTCTTTAAAAATAGGGCAATTTTAGGGTGTACGAACTCCACACATTTATCAGTTTGTAATCATTAACGGGATAGATGAAGAATATAACTATTGCATTAACCAACAGGCATCTTTCCACGTCTGTTTCTAGCAATGGCAAACGCACGACGGCTTTTACGCAGGCTCCAAGGTTATCCTGGGGTATTACGAATGTGTGATAAAACTGCATTCCCTGCCATTCCCTTCCCATCACACAACCCAAGCACAAAGCCATTAACCTACAACTCCTAAAATACTGTCGACCATGACAAAGGCACTGGGATTAAACGGGAAATGATGAGATTTAAGAGTCTGTTTTAAATTGTCATCTCCCTTCTACAAGTCCCTACCTGTTAGGTCAGTCTATCCTGGTCTCAGTCTCAATCTCCTCTTCTGTATAATGAGAACAATGAAGCCTGCGTTACAGCATTGGTGCAGGAATAAAGGAAGAAAATATGTAAAGAGCCATACTGACTTTTGCAGAGTTAACCCTCAATTTGTTTTGTCCCCTTCCTTCTCTTCCCGCTTCTGCAAGGGATGAATAAAAGTTAATGTTCTTTGTTGAAAAATGAGATATAGTAGCATTTATTGTTTTTGTCGTTACCAAAAAATGGAGGCTGGCCAGAGCCCAGTGTTGGGTACACAGTGCGTAAAATCCACAGACTCAAAACCTGGTTTGTAGACTCGACCATACTCGCGTGGCAGAAACACCCCAGAGAGCGGATTAATCTCAAGACATTCTTGGTCTGGAACCTTTGGCCGGGGCTCCCCGCCTACCCCCGGCAGCGCACGCGCAGTCTCGCCCGGCTCGCCGGCGGCCGCGGTCCGGCCTCGGTGGGCGGGGCCATGGGAGGAGCGGAGGCGTTGCCCCGCAGAGGGCCCGCGCGGGCTCAGCCTTCAAGGGCCACCAGTGGGGACGACTGCTCAGCGTGCTAAGAGGCCGTTGCTTTCCGTGGGGGCTTTCTCCCAGGCTCGGTCCGGTGTCGGCATGGCCCGTGAGTGTGCGGACGGGTGCGGGAACGCGGCGGGGAGCGTCCGCTGAGAGAGCCGAGCTCCGAGGCGCGGCCGGACGGGAGGCGGGGACTGGCTGTTGTATCCCCTTCGGTCCGGCGGCGCCGGGACCCTGTCCTCAGTCCGCAGAGGGAGAGGGATGGTTAGCTTCGGGTCCGCTTGAGAAATCCGGCATGCACCTGCCGGTCAGGTGTGAGTTTACACAGTAAAAAACACCTTTCCAGAGGTGAGGTGTGAGGATCGCGGCCCCGGGAGGGGTCCGGGTCTGAAAGGGGTTTCTGTCTGGTACTTAAAAGGTCCTAAGGCCTGATGAGGACTAGAAGCTCCGACTGTCT